AAACGGCTGAATGTGCCAGCTCTACACAACTATTTACAACAGGTGGTTTGGGATGTTCACCCCCAACTCGATGTGGACGGTCACTGGAACTTCTTACTGCACACGCTCTTATGTGCTACAAACCATTCAGTTCCTCAAACGGTTCCCAAAAGCTGTAAGCCACCCACAATAATCAAGAACCGTACCCTTCGCCTGCTAAGCCGTAAAAGGCACTGTTGAGCGGAATACAAACGAACTGACAACGACGGAGCGTATAGGCAATTCAAACATATCAGGAACATATGCACGAAGGCTATAAGAGAAGACAGGCTTCATTATCAGACAAAGCTTATGGACAAATTTGCCTCGAACCCTAGAAGCCTATTCCGTTATGCAGCCTCTCTTCGTCAAGCCAAAACAGGAGTTTCTCAACTGCTAGGTCTTAACGGCCCAACCAACAACGATGGTGACGCTGCTAACCTTCTGGCGGCACACTACTCTCAAACATTTCAGCCGGCTGACATCAACTCTATTGACGACAGTTTCACCTGTAATTCCACAGGGCTTTCCGAAGTGGACCTAAGCGCTGACTTGGTGTTCCGGAAACTGCAGCACTTAAGACTAGATACTTCTCCTGGCCCGGATATGGTTCATTCTGCCATACTGAGGGAGGCAGCCTCAATCCTGGTAACGCCGCTTAGCGTGATGTTTTCACACTCGCTAAGCCAAGGCAAATTACCGGAAAATTGGAAGTTGGCTCACATCACACCAATTTTCAAAGGGGGTCGACGCACTGAACCTTCAAGTTATCGGCCTGTGGCTCTTCTGTCATTACCTTCAAAACTCATGGAGTCCCTGATATGCGATGGTTTAAACGATTATCTACTGTCCTTAAACTTCTCACCCCAACAGCATGGTTTCAGGAAGGGATACTCTTGTATAACCAACTTGCTGACTGCGGTGGACAGATGGACAAGCATCCTCGATCGCAAGGGAAAGGTTGATATCATATACCTTGACTTCTCAAAAGCTTTTGATAAAGTTAACCACTTGTGTCTTATCAATAAGCTCAAACGACTAGGTATCAAACCACCTCTAATCGATTGGCTTACTTCATACCTAGAAAATCGACACTTTAAGGTTAGGGTTAATTTCACTTTATCTCAGGCTATGGAATGTCCTAGTGGGGTTTCCCAGGGCTCAGTATTAGGGCCTCTCCTCTTCTTGATCTACATAAACGATCTTCCTCAACAGGTAACGTCAGACTTACTACTTTTTGCCGATGACGTGAAACTTTGGAGAGAGATACGCAACCAAGACGATACACAGGCACTTCAGGAGGATCTGACTCGACTTCAAAGTTGGGCAGACGATAACGGACTTACCTTTAACACTTCAAAGTGTAAAGTAGTCCATCTGCGACATGTCGCAGACTACAGTTATAACTTAAGAAATTCCTCTCTCGTAGTATCCCAAGTCGAAAAAGATTTAGGAGTCATGTTGCCCTATGATTTAAAGTCTTACGCTAATTGTGACAAAAATGCTTTCCGAGCAAACCTTGCACTGGTAACATTGAAGCGCATTTTTGGCCAGTTTGACGGAAGAACTTTTCATACAATCTTCAATAGTTTTATCCGTCCCCATTTAGAGTACGGAAATATAGTACTCCCCCCTCACTCCAAAAGGACAAGATCACTTTGGAGCGTATCCAACGGCGAGCCACGAAGTCAGTTCGAGGACTCAAATCTAAGCCTTACGAAGAACGCCTCCATTCACTTAACCTTTACCCATTAGAGTAAAGACGCCTTAGAGGGGACCTTCTCATAGCTTATAGTATCCTTAACACTTCTGGATATCCTCTCAAACACTTACTTAAGCTTAGTTTTAACACTAACCTAGGGGGTAACACCCAGAAACTGGAAACTCAACATAGCAAGACGGGATGTAGACACAACTTCTACTCCTTAAGAGTTGTCAAAAGCTGGAATTCGCTGCCCGCCGAGCTAGTCCAAGCGACTTCTCAGGAGTCCTTCAAGAGGCAACTCGACCTATTCTTAAGGACCAAGGACAGTATCATACTATGATTTACCAATTTCTTTTCCTCTTTTATTGTTAACATACCTAGGTTCCTGCCTGGAGGATTTGGTGATCCCCTGCTACTAGACACGGAAGCCTGTTAAGCGAAGGCTTCTTCTATTCCGTCCACAACCATTTGAACAGTTTTGAACCCACTTCTCCCATTATTACTTACTAGATTTTTACATTGTCAGAGAACGATAACAGTGGAGACTATACTAAACTTATGAGATCACCTACATACAGTATAAAAAGCAAAAAAAAACCTAAGACAGAACTTTGAGGTACTCCACTAAGTGTTGATCTCCACGTGGAGCACTTGGAATCTACTCTTACTTTCTGTCATCTACCGACTAAGTTTCTCATTGTTACCTGAGGCGACTTCCAATGGACGAAATCGCCGGCTCGCTTTGTCTGCTCATAAAATGTCGAGGGCTCATATGGACAGTAAGAGGAATAATAGAATGAGATTCAGAGTGACTTATTTTATCTTGAAGATTGGACGATACCTACTGGATTTGATTTCAAGGTCACTCTGACCACACCACAATCTTGTAGTAGTACAGTAAGGAAGTAATTGGCTTCTGCTTCCATTGTTATTGTCATATATCTGAAATAATCAGTCTAAACCAAATCAACATTATGATCCATTGTCTTTTCATATGGCTTTCTGATAAACACCTAGGTGCTTTGAAGGAATGAAGAAGAAATCACATCTGTGTGTATGTGGAGACAATGTTACATAGACATATTTTTTGCGTTCGCTTGTTTTCCGTCGCTGTTAGTTTGCCTGTTAACAGTTGGATGGTAAAAGTACTATACGACCAACCGTGAGTGACTTACCAGCAAATCAGGAGACACTAGTTATATAACAATTAACGAAAACAGCAATAAAGCAACGGTGGGATAGTATCTTCGATATGAATAATTGACTTTCACATGTTGAAGTATTCCTTACAGTAACGGAAGACTTAGCTTTACATATCAGGAGTCGGGCTAATGTTTCTAAACGTATATAACTTGTGCTACCAACTGACATTAACTATTATTCGAAAATTTCAGGAATAAGTATTAGAAGTTAGGCTAGAATTTACAAATTAGGGTTGGGATTCTCATCACGAACTGACATAATCTATATTTGATTGCCTTGTCACCCAATTGCATGCAAACTGGAGGAACTTAAAGTTAGTGTGAGAATACTATATAGATACAGTAAACAATTTTGACTATGCACTGAATCACATTGAGTACTTTAACACAACGTGCATTGGGGGCAGGTATTTGTAGCAATGTATCTAAAGCAGCATCTTATATTCACCCTTCCTTTGCGTGATATATATTTTTAAAAATCAGTTTTAAGCGCTTTTAACAAAATGTTGTCAGTTCTCACCTAGTTCTAAATAACATACAAGTTGTTTATTATCGTGCTTTAATTTTCGCACAATACATGAGCCGCTATTATAGTTCTAATTGATCCACTTGAAGCCATAAGTATTGTACACTTTTACCGGTGGTATATGTAAGGTATTGGTAAAATGGGTTTTGTTCTGTGCATGTGAAATTCAACCCCTTCTGACCTAAGGATGCTTAACGCCTGTGTTCGATCATCTTTGTCTCCATATCACTCGTTTATTTAATCAATGGTACAAGAAAGTACAAAGTATATATGCGACACACTTCACTCGATTTGTGTGAGGGCTGAAATACTTCCTTGGCGCCCAAACCATTGCAGGTAGTTTTCTTAGGGAGCCATATCCAGAGCCTTTGATCGAGAGTTCTAATCCATGAGGCAGTAGAGAAACGTTAAGAAATGCAGTCTCATGATAGTCGGTGACTAACAATTGGTCCATACGCCATTTGTTCCTTCAGGGTCCTGGAGACCATGTGCACCATTCGCTTGGAATCAGGGTTTTCCAACTCCTCTAGGTGAACGCTCCGTGTCCACCAACATCTAGTTGGAATATCGTGTTAGCAATACCAAGACCCAGTAATCCATATTCGGGAGCAGTGGTAGTAATTTAATCAGTGTCAATCTATAAACACCAGTTTTGACGGATTTTTAATGCCCCCATTGTAGCGAAAGCTTTGCGTCGTAAAACACCATACTCAGAAACATTGTCTCATTAAAATTGAGGCTAGGGTGTGTGTTTGCTGAAGTTGCTACATTTCGTTGACACAATGGAATACCAGTAGTCAAAATAACATTGGTAGACATGCTAGTAGGAAATAATAAGCATTAAGAATATCTTTCGAAAAGAAGGAATACAAAGATATGTATGAAGAACTAGCGAAAGGTGAATTCATTTGTGCCATTGACACGGATTTTCAGCCACGTACTACACTTAGAGATGAACATAACCTTTCATATATCACACTTTTCTTCAGCTTCAGTTAACAATTGAAGTTAATGTTAATATCCTGCTAAAGCTTTACTGGGTTAGTATCACTTATTTTATCACTAAATGGTAATTAGTGTAGCAGTGCACTTCAGTTTAAATTACTGACGTACCTATTTGGTTACTTGACAAATCACTACCTTTCTCACTTCCTTCTACTCAATGAACTCTAAATGACTCAACAAAAGAACAACTCAATGAGGTTTTACTCATTGTCAACTCGATGTTTCTATAAATCAGTATATAGACTCTTAGTTAACTCTCGTGCAGTTAGCTTACAACCGTTGCGTCATTTTGCTTGTATTTGTTGTTTTTTATTCAAATGGTAATATTTTAATTGTACTCTTATTACCTATATTTCCATTAGTTAGTTTGAATACTGCTCCTGTTTCAATAAATTTACGAACGATGTCTTCTCAAACGCAATCTGTAGAAAATGTAGGAGAATGTAAAAAAGTGGATTTGACCACAGTAAGTATATAATCCGTAGATGGGAAAATAACTAATTTTTTTTCTTTCGCTGACAGAAACTTCTACCTACTGTCGCTCGGGCTGTTAAACTATCTCAAGAACTTCCCGTATCAAACACACCTGCTTATATTTACTACAATGACTTTCCTCAGTATAAGGCTATAGCAGCTGGACAATCTAAAAAGATTCTTTCGATGTAATAAAAATTATCACTATTATTTTCTCATTTTTTTTACGTTCATTTAGCCTACAAAATATTCTCGATGTTTTAGATGCGAAAGCTAACATTTTAGATGTTCCAGTGACTAAAAGTATGCACGAGAAATTCACCTCTATTATTGATGCTAACGATCGGATATTGGAAAAATTGGTAATTTTTAATTTACGAAAGTTAACCAGTCATTTTTACATATATATTAATAGGCGATGGCCATGGATTTTGAAGAAGATCCTCAGCGTAAAGCATTCTTTCTTAAAACAAGGTCTGAAGACCTGGTGGTTGCTGTTCATCGAAAAAACACAACATCTCTTGAATGGTTAAAAACAAAAAATGTATGTTCAATGCATTTCATCATTCTCACATTATGATTATTATTTTAGTCAAATGAAGAAACTAATGAGGGTGTTGATTTTTCGGAAAATTCACTAAAACTTTTATCCTCAAAACATATTGTCAGACCACAAACATATTTCTCCACTCCACCAGACAATTCATACTCATCGTTTCGACCGAAAATAAAATCAAAACCAAATTGTATTCAACCACTTCCTGGTAATTTTTATTAATTTAACGTTTGTTCTAAATTAACCTTTACTAAGAATTATTATCCAACAATAATGGAGAGTTGACGGAGTAAGTGTGTATACCATGTTTATAAAAACTGTAATTCCTTGTTTTTCAAGTTATCCTCATCCATACAAAGCAGAATTAGAAGCGTTTGCCAATAGTCTACCTAGTTTGAATGAAATGATGTCGGAAGATTTTCCAGTGAAACCTTTGGATTCATCATATCAATATGTTGACACACCAGATACTCTTGAACAAATTATGAAATCCCTTTCCATTTGTAAATATATTGCGGTTGACTTGGAAGTAAGTGTACTCTTTTTTTAATTTCCCATTCACATTTTTGCATAACATTTGGATTCAGGCGGTTTTTACTCCGTTAATATATTTCGTCCACATCTCAAGTGTTTAGATTTCCATTACGATTGAAATTAATTGCTGTGCTTTTCTTGTCATGTTGTTAGTTTCCTCTTGTACTGTTCTAATACGAAGCTTAGCTATGTAAACCATTGACGCTATTTAGCTTATATGTGTATCACAATCAGAGACCATTATTTTTAACGTTTTATTTTGTCCTGTAGCTTTTTAAAACAAATGTTCTGAAATATATTTTCACTTTGAGTTATCGCCACTGTTTTGACTTTAGAAAGTTTAAGTTTGCTGTCTACAACGGCTTGTTCTTTTCTTGCTTCATGCTTAAAATAGACGTTTGGAAAACAATATATATCATTAGTTGTTTAAGTTCAGAGTTAATGCCATCTTTGTTGATTTAAATAAAGGAACTTACCACTTATGAGCACTTAGCCAATGGGTTACGAGATATAACGATAAAGTACAAGAACTAATATGGCAACTGTATTGTGCTCGATACTATTAGATTACATCGATATACAGAAACATACTGTATCACGTTTTACCTAGACACATGATTCACGAACCAGATTATAGGTTAGACAAACGTTTACTTAACTCACCTGCTAACAGTTCACAAACAGTGTATAGTCACATTATTATTTATTTATTTATTTCAACACATAGATAATGGTACAAAGAGGCACCAAATACATATGCGCCACACAAATCTCATCCGATATGTGTGAGGGCTGTGATACTGCCCGGGTGCCCAAACCGAAGCAGGTGGTTATCTTAGGGGGCCACACCCCGAGCCTTCAACCCAAAGGTCTGATCCACAAGGCAGTGGAGCATCGTAAGGAGATGCAGTCCCATGGAAGCCGGTGACCAACAATTGGTTCATTCGCCATTTGTTCCCGCAGGATACTGGAGCCCATGTGCACCATTGGTTTGGAATCCGGTTAAAGCGCCGGACATTCGCTTTTCGTCCTCTCATTTTCGTAAACAACACCCCCGCCACGAGAAGGCAGTGAGTAGGACTTCCCTGGCAGAGGCTATATACGCGTGGCCGTATGAGAGTATTTCGAGAGGGAGAGCGGACTCTCCCCACTCTCGGCCGTACCAGGGCATTTGGGGGCTAGTCACATTAAAATCAGAACATGAAGGAGTATTTTACACATAATAGTAACATGTACAATAGTCTACATAGGGTAGTCTGTTTTTCTTCACTCATAGTCCAATCACAGCTCATTATCACACGAAATATCAGTTGACAGTAAAGCACTGCTACCTAGGCCGAAATATCTCAAAATCAATGAATGATCTCTCAAAAACTCGAACTTATGTCATTCAAAGCAACTTTCAAATATATTGGCCTTTGTCCTTGAATTAATACTGAGATTATAGGTATTGATGTCAAGGTTCGCCCAGGACAGAGTGGGTTGGAGAATGCCGATCGGCTGCCTATGTTCTATTGGGAGTAACAGGCGTAAGCATTAGCAAGCAATGCCAAGGTTGAACTTGATATTTTCAATAAATTGAGCATTGGAATATAACAAAAAGTATATTTATCATTGGGATTAAGGTGTTAGAATTTTTGTTTAAATTGTCTTGGTTTTGATTTTTCACAGAAGTGCTTTGATACAAGTCCAATACACATTAATATGAGTTAGTTGTGTTGAACTAAACGCAAAATAGAAAATTTCTTATCCTCCATTAAAGCTTAATAAATGGATAATCCATTCATAAATTAATTGGTGAATATTCATCGAAAATTTTGAACAATTAAGAATTTTTGAATTGCTGTAGTTGTGATTTACTCATAGTGTTATTATAAAAATTTCATAAATTGAGAGAACGACTACTGATGAATTCCTCAAATTAATTTATAACCCCGACTTGGTTTTAGTTATTAGGTGGACACTCTCAAAGTCAGTCTAGCGTCGCTCAAAGGTTGTCCATAAATTATAGTCTTGCCCTGATGATTAGTTATTCATGTAAATTTAGTGTTTTCGGTTTTACTACTTAGTTTTACTAAGTAGTGTAAAGTTTAGTACGAAAGGATCCAGAACTAAGCAGGACTAAGTTCTGACTTGGAATCTAGTCAATCGTTGTTCGATTGTACCCGAATTGTAGATAATTTAACCGTATTCAGAAGTTGACATAACATACTGTTTTTGCTCCTCATTTTCGTGAACATAAATTTACTTTACTGCTGGTGATAACTATCTCCACAAGTCTATGAATATTGAAACTTGAAATACGTTTTCTAGTCTTTGTAGTTTCAATTTTCTCTGTAGACATGACTCAACGTAGGGTCTATGTGGTAATTACCATGTATTAGTCAAACGTCTCTCAAGTTTTCCAGAACTTTCTTCCGTATAGCTGCACTGTATCTCCGGATGATCCTATTTAAACAACTGGGAGACAGTAAAGGTAAATGAATGATTTGTTGTACTAGCAATTAGGATTAGAATCTTAAGATTCTTGAATAGCTGTGCTCTTGATATAATTTCGCACGTTGACCATTGATTCGGCGGTATAAAACAGCTTTTTTGTTTCTCCTATATATCTTTTTGTAAATTCCCACCACTTCTAGCATCATAGCTATCGAAGCTTCTTGGGCATTACATGTCTAATACAAATGAGTACATTGGATACTGATTACATTATCGATGCATTGGCTCTACGTGATCATTTATCAATACTGAATGAAGTATTCACTGACCCGAAAATTGTTAAGGTAAGAGAACTACACTTTTTTATTGCTAACACGTAAATTTAATTATTTGTATCTGTGCATTTAGCTGGTAAATTCCAATTTAGACTAAATAAGCGTTTGGGACTCTACTTTTATTTAATTTTCGACTTAAGAAAATGACAAACTATGCTAAGAACTGTTGTTTTATTACATTTTTTCCGTAATTCCCTTAGATTTTTCTAATAAATTTGAACTGAACTGAATAGAAGTACAACATAGGGACCAAATTAAAACAACCATGACGAATTTCCAGCTAGTTTCTGACCAATGAGAAAACACCCTGTGTAAATGGATAGTTTATGGAACGGGAAAACAATAACATTGAAAACTGTAAATAGATTTTAGATAATTAGGGGATTTGTTGACGTCTTCTACAGGTTATTCTTCTTGTCAATCCAAAAAACAATGACATACAAATTCATCTTTACAGATATATATTATTCATATTCTCCTGTGTGGTTGCACCACATGATTGGGCTGTACTATTCAAATTGTAGCGTTAAAGCCTGTACGGTGTCTGGTTTCCCTGCTAAACGGGGTTGAGCTGTACTGTTTGGGTTTTTACGTGAAAGTCCGGATGGTGTCTGGTTCTCCTGAAAACCATTGTAAAATTACACTGGCCCACAAGGGTATATTATATAACTATAACTGTATAAATATTCTCATGGACCTAAATAGATTTTTGGGAGTCCCCATATTGTTAATATTTATGGTTAGGACTAGAAACTTTAGGTTTAAATTTTTCGTCATGAACTGATATCAGCTCTAATGCAAAGTGCTCTGTATTCGTATGGATGAGTGTTGCGCGGACATCCGACAGTCTCTGTCTGGTTAATCTATCTATAAAATAGAGTACGAATGGGTTAAAGTTTGTTTAAAAATTAAGAGCTTAGGGTTAAGAGTAAGAGTCGATTTGGCTGTTATATACAATCTATAGAAATAGCATTGAACATTTCATAAGCTTAACACTATCACTTTAAACGTTTTGAGCTTCGTATACAGGAAGTTTTATTGCATATCACACATTACATTTTAATTTCACACAGAAACCTTACTATCGAATTCTCGGTTCTGATTGACTCTTTCCTAAAGTATAGTTGTACCCTAAACTCCAGGCTGATTATATTACATATGCAAGCACTCAAACTTTATATAATAAATAAAATTCTCTGTTAATATCGTAACAGAATTTAATCTTATTCAAATTAAGTGAAGATTTTGAATAAGGGATTGTGACTCATCTTTGAGAAGTGCAAATGTCTGAAGGTCATGCACTTTTACCTCCATTGGCTGGTTTTCCTGAGAATTTTGATCTAATCATAACATTTTGACCGTTCATATTTCTTTGTGTATTTATGTATCAATGAATGAGATTTTTGTCCACATTAGTATATAAATAATCTACAATTGGCATATGGAGTTTAATTACCTAGATGGTGTACAAATAATGTTAAAATAGAGTGATATGACATATCTCAATGATAAAATACTCTATACAATCGTATATGCTACCAAATGGGTTTTTTTCCTTCAAATAGTCGAATATTTTCATTATTTCCCTATTTAAATCAGTTCACTCAGATGTGAATCTCAAATAAATGCATAGAACTTGATTTTCCTGAATCATGGTCAAATTTTAATAGAAGAAAAAGTGTGGATTTGAATTGTGATAGTAAGAGAATATAATATTTGAGCACATTCAATAAATATATTCTGAACTAGGTTGACGACTCCAGTATGTTAGTAATTCCTATTGCTTCAAAGATTCCATCTATATAATGAATGGTCAAATTAATAATCTCTGTTTCTCTAGAAATTTCGTGATTTTTCGTTTTTTTATTGTAAAGATTAGGTTTGATAGCTCTAGTCACTAGCAGTGATATCTGCTAGCATGGTAAACCACAAGGTTAGGGAGAAAAACTGGATCTCAGCAGTATCTACCGCACTGATGGATGCTCGAAAACTCATTCCATCTGGCTCTGAACATAACGAAGAGTGGAGTCAGCTCAAGGGCAAACTGACAAGAAGCCTACGCAATGATCGTGGATAGTGGTCGGTAGCGAAAGGCAGCGGTAATAGGTAACAGCAGACAACTGTTCAGACTTGTTAAGGAAACCGGTATTAGGAACCCGACTGTTAGCGAAACAATCTCAGAAAAAATGGAAATATTATACATTTTCAGTCCATGAGATTGGGTCGTTGAGCAGAACACTTTAGGGATCGGTTCAACTGGCCTTCAGCCATACTTAGGTTTCCCACGATCTCCGGTCAACCTGAATGGCAAGTTGATGTAAGTTCCCCGACACTTTAAGAAGTTGAAAAAGCTATAGGAAATCTGAAGCGTGGGAGAGCAGCAGACCCTGACAGGTTTACCCCTGAGATTTTTAAGGATAGTGGTCCAGTATTAGCAATGAGATTAACCGAGGTCTTAGGTAGAATTTGGGAACTGGACGTAATCCCATCTGACTGGGCTCAATCACTGATTGTGCCAGTCTATAAAAAAGGACAAAAGTCCTCTTGTGACAATCACAGGAATCAGTTTGACTAATATAGTGTCTAAAATATTAGTTTCAATAATACTTCGACGCCTAACTAAAGCTCGTGAAGAGCAGACTAAAGAAAATCAGGCCGGTTTTCGACCTGGACGTGGTTGTATAGATCAGATATTCACACTACGTCAGGTCCTAGAATATAGACACACATTCAGACGCCCCACAATGGTAGTATTTCTCGACCTTAAGGCGTCATTCGACTCTGTTGATCGTGAGGTTCTATGGCAGTGTTTGTCACTGAAAGGCGTACCAAAGAAGTACATTAACCTTGTAAAGGCTCCCTACTCGAACACAACTGGTCCAGTGAGAGCTTATGGCGAACTGTCATCAGAATTTATTACCTCAAGTGGTGTTCGTCAGGGCTTCCCACTCTTTCCATTCTTGTTTAACTTTGTCGTTGACGTGCTTTTAGAGATGATAGTTTCCTCATCTGAATTCCCAGGGGTTGAACTTCTACCGGGAGATTCACTTATTGACTTACAATATGCCGATGACATAGTTCTATTTGATGAAGACGCTGACAAAATGCAGAGTCTTCTGACCTTTCTAAGCAACAATGCAAGCATGTTCGGCATGCGATTCTCCTCGTCGAAATGCGAAATGTTACTTGAGGATTGAGTTGCATCGACACCCGAACTAATGATAGGGCGTGAAGTAATTGAGCGTGTCGACCGCTTCACTTACCTTGGAAGTCTCATCAGCCCTTGTGGTCTGGTGTGTGACGAAATCTCAGCACGGATACAGAAGGCTCGACTAGTTTTTGCGAACTTGCGTCATTTATGGCGTAGGCGAGATATCCGTCTATCAACCAAAGGACGCGTTTACTGCGCAGCAGTTCGTTCCGTCCTGCTTTATGGAAGTGAAACATGGCCGGTAAGAGTAGAGGATATTCGTAGGTTACTAGTATTCGATCGTAGGTGTCTTCGAAACATCGCCCGTATATCCTAGGACCATCGAGTAAGCAATTCAGTTGTTAGAGGACGGGTACTAGGTAAGGATGGCAAATCAATTGATGAAGTAATGAAACTTCATCAGTTGAGACGGTTGGGACACACACCGACTTCCCCGACGTGCGATGCTCAGTGGTATATGAGTAGATTGGAAGAAAGTTAGGGGCGGTCATACCAAAACATGACACAAATTCATGAAGTCATTGACAAGTGGGCAAGTGGAAAACGAGATGATGGCAATCGATGGTTAGAGACCCTGAATGACATGGCTCAAAATCGCTTGCAATGGCGCAGGTGCATCACTCTTTATGTTCTCCCAAATTTTAATCTTCTGAATTCTTCATGTCTTTTTCTATTTCCTCTTTCCAAATTTATGTCACCGTATCATACTCCTTGAATAGCATCTTCAAACCCTAATGTTTCCGATTACTACTTATACTCTTACTACTTCTACCACTATAGGATTTGAATCGACAACTGCATCTCTGTGCTAATGTGGTGTGACAACTCGAACTGATGTACGTACGTACGAAGTTCTGCGTTGTTACTGACTGAGTCTCTAGGTTGTAAGTTCGAGTCCTCCTGAACTTACTTCGATTTGGGCAACCAGATCCTTTCGCTAGCCCTCACACTTGGTGTGATTTTAAACCCAAAACTACGTGTGTCTATATATACTTAACTTTGGGTCTCAATTTTGTTATTGAGAACTAATTAACTCGGTCGCTTGGTTGCCATGTTCAAGCAACCAACGGACTAGTTGAAAGTCAAGTGCTATCACCATTGAACCTATATCTAACGAAACTTCCCAGACCATCCAGTCTCTTCTTACTCCAATCATTTTTTTCAGTATTCTCACTAAGGTTTTCGTTAGTATTAATGTTACTACAAAGAATAATCTGATCGTCCTTACTTATGCAATTCAATGTGTAGTGATTTGGAATTCTTTTTTATCCGTTTTCCAACTATTTATATAAGATTTATATTTAACCGAGCTTGAAACATCACTTTTCAGTGATCATTATATGCAAATGTTCTTTGTAACAAATTTTATATCTCTTGCTCTCCACTGCACACTCTCTATTATACATTTCTCAAGGTGTTTCATGGATCCGATTCTGATTTAATGTGGTTACAACGAGATTTCGGTGTGTATATGGTCAACTTATTCGATACAGGCATAGCTGCTCGCCTGCTACAATATGGCCGTTTCTCACTTAGTTATCTATTACAACGATTTGTTGGCGTAAATTCGAATAAGAAATATCAACTAGCTGATTGGCGTATAAGGTGCTGTTCTTATTTAGTTGTTCATGTAATGTTTAACGGTTCTATTGTTTCATTGAAATCATGAACATCGATCTGAGTTAGACCACCACTGGAAATCTGAAAGCACTGGGTGGCCGTCTCGTCCTAGTATGGGATTCCGCAGCAATGCTTATCACGATCCTGCACGCGGGAATGCTTAATCTCTAGACCATTGACCCGGTATTCGATGGTGTTAAAGCCTAACTTCAATTAGTCCACGATATTGTGCGGTCATCTTGCACTGTTGTCAATGGGTAAATGTCTCATCTGATACGATTTAGCTCCAATGGTCATAGCTTCTCACTAGAACTCCGGAAATGTCCTCTCGAAGCTAGTTACTTGTGAACACATGATTGTCGGTATGAGGTTGTGGAGGTGGCTGGATTTCCGTGATTGAAGTCAGACATTGACATTGTTGAATGCCGGTTTAGTGGTCTAGAGGTCAAGCGTTTGTACGCGAGGTCGAAGGTCTTGGGTTCGACCCCCAGTATGCGAAGTCGTAGATAATCACTGTTGAGGAGTCCTATATTAGTATAAGACGACCGCCTAGTGCTCCCAAGTTTCCAGTTGTGTTTTAACTTCGATCATATTATGAATTCACTGAAATTCAACAATCTCCGCAATATTTCGCTGACAGTTTTATTGTTGTTTTGCAATATTTGTAAGCTGCTTTGATTAATAATTTCATACTACTGTAAAGAGCTCAGTGAAACGTAGTAAATGCCACTACTCTTATGTGTAAAGTTTGAAATCCTTTTTTCTTTTTTGCATGTTCTCTCGTTTCATCCTTACTTCAAATGTAGTCTTCTTTAAAAACCTTTTTACGCTAAAATGACACTTTGTGGATTCATATAAAAATGTTGTAGACAAGGTATCCTTTTTGGAAATTTTTTTTGGGGGGCATATTATGCGGCAGTGTGCTCTATGTTACTTTATGATTGTGTGTTAGCGGGACATAGATTGAATTAAATCATGCTCAATGCACGCTTGCGTTGCCGCACGCTGATTGGCTAATTCTTATCTAATCAGCGTTAGTCAATACTTAGTGAACACTAGAAATCTCGTGTGAAAAAACTATAAATATACTAACGTTTTCCCTATTGCACTACTTACTTCCATCTAACCTTGTTATTTGGAACATAATCTCTCTTTTCTGTTCAACTGTGTTCTGATTTGGGGGACTTGTCGATTGAGTCGTTGTCCGAGAATACTAAGCAATAGGAATAGCTGGGTTGTAATAAAAGAGAAAATTATAACATTATGGAACTTTTCTTTTGAAAGAAAAGGACTCGTAGGTTGCTAATACTTGATTATAGACATTTTCGAAGTGTTACTCGTGTATTTTAGAATGAGCAGTTCTTAAATGTAAGGTACTCGTTAAACACAGAAAAATAGTCGGTGGGACTATAAATCTTTGTCGACTAAGGTGACTAGGTCATGATTTATGTACACTTAACTGTTCTTTACTGACTGGCATTTAACTTTGTTGGGAGAAAGCCAGAATAGATGGGATCAACCCGTGAGGTTATTTCATACACATAGTTCCCTTTATCATTTTGACTATTGAGCTGAACTGTGTTAGATGGCGCAGATTCCCTGGATATGGTCGACATGATAGTTACAATTGGTGGCTGGAAAGGTTGGGTAACGTGGCTTAGAGTAGGTTGTAGTGCCGCAAATACATTTCTTTATACCCCTCTACATTTTCAGTTTTAACACAATTTCATACTTCGTATTTTATTTCAGTATTTCTTCTCTGATCATACTCTTCTTGTTTGATCTTTCCTAGTGCTATTGTTGCTATGATTACATTTTCTTTTGCTGTTCATCTTAATTCTACTTTTCTGTGCCAATGTTGTGTGGGAACTTAGGCTGATACATATTTGAACCACATTCTACGCTATTTATAACTGACAGCTGGTTCTGTAAAGCTTAGGTAATTTCCGGTTAGTTTATCATACCGATAGATTTATCTTCTCTCATTCATTGGTCGATGAAATTCGGTCAGCATATATGGACTAGGCAGACATAACTGTGGTCATTATTTGCTGGTCAATCAATCGTAGATATCTCAGTCTTAACGAAGGTCATTTTCGGCTTCGATAGCTCAGTGTTAGCGTTTCAGACTATGAAGGTGAGCGGTGCATGTTTACGTCTTATAAGAATGAATAGTTCTCTCAAAATAACCGGAAAACCCTACTGACAAGCGTCAACGAGAGCAAAACTTAGGTTTAGGATTTGCTGTCCCTTACTTCCAAACACAGTATATAATTTACTGTTATGATCAGTCTTTTTTGGGGATATATGTATCATGTACAAATTGTTTCGATATACCTGATAGGTACTGGGTTAGGGTTATGATGTGAACATCATTACTGAGATCCAGGTTAATCCAGCCAACGATTCCCTAACTGGGCGAAACTCGCATTCTGTATCCCATTGCTAGTCACAATTCATTTATTCTATGAACTTGTGTCAAAATATTTATATCAAGGCAATCCGCACAGGATGCACATATACCAACCGAGACTAATCAAAATCCAGTCACAAATAATTGTATGAGATAATTTAAACCATTAAAAATTAAATTTAATGCTCTGTATTAACATATTATATGTATTTTTTTTTTACCAAAAATCATGCTACTTTTCATTTATGTTAATTAGTATTGTAACTTATACCTATGCTTATTTCTCACAGTTATCTGTGTATTTCTATCTAAATTTGTTTTGTACCACCAGACCCCTGCCGAATGAATTGATCGAATATGCACGAACAGATACACATTACCTATTACATATTGCAAGTCGTATGTGTCGAGAATTACAAGATAGAGATCTATTACCAGTTACTATTGAACGAGCAAGACAATTATGCCTTAAAGTAAGTTGTAGAATATAATATGACTTGTTTTTTCTTTAAAAAAGGGAGATAGTTCAATTCCAGTAATTGGTTAAACTATTCAACAAACATAAATAAATGCATCACATTTAAACAACATCAAAAGTTTGCGTGATATTTGTTGAACTCCTGAACACCTTGAATCCTATACATCTTTTCGTTCATCCAAGTGGTCTCACTTTGAGAAAGAATCCAAAGAGAAATGTAGTGATAATAGCGAAGAACAATAGTAAAAAGAACAGCGAATTGAAAAGAAATGAGGACATTTTCGTCACATTTTAGGTCCTGAGAGCAGATGGTATGAACATTTTCATTTTATTTTATTTATTGAGTAGTAACTGGGTACCAACTATGCCATGCAAACAAAGAGTTATGCATTGTGCAGAAATAAAGAAAGGACTGAACAAGAATATTTTATAATAGAAGATTCGGATCAGTTAAAAATACAATCATGAAGACTTCTTTTCCGTCAACTTTAGTGAATAATGTATGGGAATGTATATGATCGCTACTGGTTTCGTTTATTAGCCTTGTTGGATAGTATCTCGCACAGCTTAGTTTTACCATCTTCAAGAGTTCAACCCGATAGTGGTAATAGGTCGATAGATATCAATTCTATATAGTTCTGTTTCATATCACGATGTCAAATAGTAAATCAACCACTTCTCCGTCTTTTTCCAACCAGTACCAATGTTGACAAATAATGTACTATGTAAAATCTTCTAGGATAACACACTCGTAAGAAGTATCTACATTGGTGTTGGATGTTCACTGATGTAACAGTAGGTTGAACAAAAGCAAGACAATATCAGTCCATAGAGTCATTAACTATTGAACTGAGTCTTATTGACAGATACTGACTGCTTAGTTGTGATCTTCACAATTATCGTAACCATTAGTTCAAGATTTGAAGTGGTTTATAATATATCACAATGTCTCAAATACATTCAATTTTTGTTTGGAAATACTTATATTCTTCATTCTTCATATTCACTTTTTTCTCATATCATATTGTCTATGTTTGGTCATTTCTAGTATCATTGATACTGTTACTAGTTCTGCTACTTTGGTATTTGTCTTGATAATTTAATTTCCATGTACTGTAACTGTTATAATGTGGCAACTTCAACCAACTCATGTCGATGTCAGATTCTGGATTGTTTATGTTTGATTGACTGATTTAAATTGCTTTATCTTAAGTTAACCCTTTTTTATTTGTATGAAATGCATTATTTTCCTATCGTTTATTGTACATTATTCAAACTTTTTACCATTGTTGTATGTACATATATGTATCATTTCCATGTAGTGTTATACGAAACCTGTATTCAATAGACTCGGTTATTTGGATCTTTATAGACAAACTGGAAGTAGTAGTTTCAGTCATCGTCAATTATATGCTTTAGAAAATCTTTATGCTTTACGTGATTCGATAGCTAGACGAGAAGATGAAAGTCTCCAGTAAGTATTATTATTATTATTATTATTATTATTATTATTATTACTATTATTTTGTTTCATTTCTGGTTTTTAGTTCAGGAAATATAACATTTTATTCTGATGGGTTATTGTTTAAATTGGTTTAATTCTCACGCTGTAGAAGAGTCTAATACTAGGAAGAAACAGTTGTTGAGTAGTGTTCCTTGGTTTTTAATGTTACTCTAAATAAGATTAATCTGTGACTCCAAATACTACTTACAATATAATATATTTGATTTGTTTTGTTCGCGAACTTTTTTCGTTGTTTATCTATGAAAAGCATCAAAATTTTAGATGTTTTTACAAGTTAAGGGTTGTGGAGTTTGTTGAATTTTATTGAAACCCTAAACCAATCTAAGTTAGATCACCATTAAAAACCTGGAGGCACTAGACGGCCGTTTCGTCCTAGTAAGGAGTTCTTCACCAGTACGTGTCTACAATCTCACATCCAAGGATTAAACCCAAGACCTTCGGTCTGGTACGTAAACGCTTAGACTCGTAAACACTGATCCGGCATCTACCGGTCGTCCAGTCTTTCTAGGTTTTCAATTGTGGTCTAACTTAGATTGGTTCAATATTTTACTGTATGTTTATATTTGTTTTGAGCTTTTTTGACGCGTAAAATTGTGAACAATATCACGTGTTGTGATTTGGAATTAATTAGCAACATATAAGTCATTCAAACAATATTCAGTAAATTCATGAATCATGGTTACAAATCTGTGTACCACTATCTCCTCGTTAATATGACTGTGTGATTCGATATTAAGTACATTCACTTGAATTTAATCAGTTAGATTAAATCATCGAGATTAAAACCTTTGGAGTTTTGAATGAACCGTACTTTTACTGATCTTAAAAATGTCTTTATTAGCAATTTCAAAACTAAATTTGGGGGATGAACTTAAAACAACCACGATGAATTCCCGGCCTGTTAAACCATCATAAACACTCTTTATGAATGGCTAGTTTATAGAAAATAAAACAATCTTATTACAAAGTTTAGATAGTTTTTACGTATTTAATGAATTCATTAAAGTATTCTACTGGTTACTCCAGCTGTAAATTAGGGAAAAAACTATGACATATAAATTCGTTTTTACGAATGTAGATTGTTCGTCTTCTCTAACTCTCAAAATGAGCCAGATAGGTTTTTAAGACTTTACACTGTTCATAGTCAAGATTTGTATTCAGGGTAATGATCAAGGGTTTACAGTTAGGATTTTCATCACGAACTGACATCAACTATAATCAGAAGTCCAATGTAGTCACATGAATGAATGAATGTTACACGGAAATCAGTTGTATAATTGTCAATATTACTACGGCTGATCCAGTTTGTAATACGAACCAAATTTAAATGGAGAGGATCTCTACAAGTTATTCATCTAACATAGAACCTTAACATATGTGAATCTGTTCAAGTTGTCACACCACATCAACACAGCTAGATAAAATTGTCAAAACAAGTGTTAGAGTAGTAGTAATAGTAATAATATCAATAGTAATAGGAAATATTGAGCATAGACAATATTATTCAAGAGGAAAAAATGAGTTCGTGGAACAAAAATAGTATGAAACAATTTTAAAACTCAATACCTAAGAGAAGAGTTGATAATTGCTTCGGAACCATATCACCTACCATCTCAAACCGTTGTTCACAAGTTTAGCGTGGACTTCACTTTGCCATCACAACTTAAACGAACAATCATTTACCTCATTAACTGACACTATCTCTTGATTTGTTTCATCCAGCTTTCTTCCAACCAACTCCTTTACCTGGCCCCCAAATGCCCTAGTACGACCAAGAGTGGGGAGAGTCCGCTCCCCCTCTCCGAATGCTCTCACATGGCCACGCATATATAGCCTCTGCTAGGGAAGTCCTACTCACTGCCTTCTCGCGCCGGGGGTGTTGTTTACGAAATTGAGAGGACGGAAAGCGAATGTCCGGCGCATTAACCGGGTTGGTGGACATGGAGAGTCCGCCTAGGGGAGTTGGGAAACCCTGATTCGAAACCAATGGTGCACATGGGCTCCAGTATCCTAAGGGAACAAATGGCGTATGAACCAATTGTTGGTCATCGGCTACCATGGGACTGGGTCTCCTGACGTTGCTCCACTGCCTTGTGGATCATACCTTCAGATCGAAGGTTCCGTGTGTGGCCCCCTAAGAAAACCACCTACTTCGGTTTAGGCACCCGGTCAGTATCACAGCCCTCACATATATCAAATGAGATCTGTGTGGCGCATATGTATTTGGTGCCTCCTTGTACCAATATCTATGTGTTAAAATAATTAACTAATAAATATTACCAGTAAACATCACAGTATACTACATTGATTCTAGCAACACCCACTACTGTTTCTGTTACTGTCGATATGATATAATTGTTAAATAATGATAAAATCTTTATTGTTGTTATCATGATTATTGTTCTGAGTATTAATTTCCGTATATACATTGATCTCTTCACAGTTATGTCTTACCAAATCATATGTTAAAAGTAATTGCTGAAGTATTACCACGTGAAAGTTCTGGTATATTTGCATGTTGTAATCCTATTCCTCCACTGGTGCGTAAATATGTTCACGATTTGCACAAGATTATAGTGGATGCAAGAAATTTGCCTATTACAGATTTAGTAAGTTGAAGCAAAAAATTACATTTCTTTATTATTAGTATAGAGGCATTTGTGAAGACTGTAGACTTTTCATAGTTCAAATCACGAAGTGATCTTAACCAAACAATCCTTGAGAACCTAGACGCGTTGGACGACTGTTTCGTTCTTGTATGAGACTCCCTAACAATGTACATCCACGGCCTCACATTTATGAATCATATTCAAAACTTTCGGTCTCGTACTTGGATACTCAATCTGTAGACCACACCGAGCTAGCATCTAATGATGTGCATATCTAACTTTTTTATGTTGGATCTTAACTATGACTGATAATATTTTCTAAACGACATTCTCAGACATATAATACTACTTTAGTTGTTAATGCTTCATTAAAAAAAATCATTTAAGTTATAATAGTAACTATTATGTTAAGTTCGTTGAACATTTTAACTGCCTACTGCTTAGTTAATTCTTAGTCTTGAACGATCTTCATCGAATGAAAACCAAAAGCGAAGGATATTTCATCGGTTTGAGAGTGATCTAAGAGTTGATAAAGAAAATAATCGAATTAATAATAAATTTGAAATTTTTATAAATGTTGATTAATTAAATTGAATATTTTAAACATTTTCTTGGTTTCTAGAGTAATTTTTTTCTAGATGATTTTAGATGAATTTTAACAGTTACCATTTGTCTTATCTTGGCAAATCGATTAATGTGATAGTAAATATTTATCGACTCAAATGGTAAGGATATGTATTACGTATGCTCATCCATCGACTAGCTCGACGAGAAATCCTAGTTAACTGAGAAGTAGGTTGGGAGAAGATGTCTAGTATAGAATTAGGTTTGAAGACAGTTAGGTTTGGCTATACTAAAATATGGTATCAATCCATGGAAACTCTAACTGTTGAATTAAACCATATATGCAGGTGCAGATTACTTTATTGTCGTATACGTGATTATCGTAATCAATTATTAGGGAATTTGGGTGATATGGCTCAGAATCGTTCGCGATAATTCAGATGCACTCGCTCTTTGTTTTCCTTTAGATTCCTAGTTTCTAAATTACCCTATAGGTTTTCTTATTCCACTAATCCGTATCATCTCGAATCGTATCTCCGATACCTAATTTTTTCAACCACCACTAATCCTAAGCATAGATGGATAGTAGCTAGCAGTGGAATCCAAGACGCGCGTTTCGTTTTATTTGGGACTCGTCAGCTGGGTATGCCAGCATCTTAGAGTTGATGTTCACTCCGGGAATCGAACCCAGTACCATCCACTTCAAACGCCATCATGTTATCCACTTAGCTTATGCAATGGGGTGAGGTCTTAATTCATTTTTGTTGTCTAGACTCAGTAGCTAAGTGAGTATCGTGATGACGTTCAAAGCGAATGGTATTGGGTTCGATTCCCGGAGTAAACGTCAACTCTAGGATCCTGGTATATCCAGCTTACGAGTCCCAAATAAAACGAAACGTGCGTCTTGGATTCCACTGCTAGCCAACATCCATCTTTGCTTATAATGGTTGTGACTGAAGACAATATTGAGGCAATCAGCACAGGATCCACATATCCCAATAAGAGACTGATTAGTTACAATCCTAAACATCAATGGAAAAATTCAAAGTACCAATACAAAAATGAATCACCACTGAAACTGTTATTACATGTACTTTTCTAGTATTTTCTTTGACAATTGTATCTTACTATGCGGATGCAGTGTGGCTAATTGAACTGTTGTACACGTGTTCTAGATATTACAATGTTCATTAATGGTTGACTGTTCTGTTATCATCAAGTGACACATCTATAGGCCCTAAAACGTAACTCCTAGTTCATTTTTATAAAAATTAATTGAACTATTACTGATAAACATTATGGTTAGCATGTATTTCAGACTAGTTCTGTTCAGTTACTGATTTATAATACATCTTGTAAGTGAAATCTTGTAAAGTGACTTCGTAATCGTTTCCTAATATCTAGAAATCTTCTCTTGAACCTGGTACAGAAAATAAATAACGGAAAGTTCGGAAGAAGCCTTATTTCTAATACATAGGAAAAATGTATTTATCTATAAAAATTGTCTATAACCTTGAGATTTTCGGTTCTTTTTATTAAAACATGTTAAATTCGATGCCTATTCAGTTCAGATAACAAAAAATGTAATAGTCTTCTCCTCATTCTTTAATTATATGTCTCAAAAGAAAATTGTAACTATGATCTAAATTTACCATTAAAAGTACACATAGTTATTTATTATAATGAATCAGACTTATGCGTGACGTCAAAAGTACAAATCAACACTCAATGATAATAATAATAATAATATAGGTCAGACGTATATATTTATATATCCAGCGTCACATGAGCCCATAAATACACTTTTTTATCAATATTATTTTAACCCTAGCCAAAGTAACAAAGATTGTAATTATAAGATCTAACTAATTAATTGATTGAGTTAATTATTTATGCGGAAAGATAACTTTTTCTCTCAACAAAAAAACAAATTATACCATAATCTTTAATAATTTAAATCACTAACTGATTTTAACTAAATCATTATTTAAAACCGGGAAGCACTAAACAACCGTTTCGTTTTAGTATGAGACTTCTTGACAGTATGCATCCACGACCTCACATCCAGGAATCGAATACAAAACCTTCGGTTCCATGTGTGGACGTTTATTTTGTAAGCCACTGAACCGGCATTGAAAATCATCAATAAAAAGCTTCTTTTATCCAGAGATCAAACATGAACAATTGCGTTAGTGGATCTCATTTTCTGACTAACCACTTATTTTTTTATGCTATGAGATAGAAATAGTTTGGAGATTTTATTAATTTGTATAGAATTAATTCATGTATAGCAAAGTAAACATTAGATCATAAATTTCCAAACTGTATTACAACATTACTATCAATACATTATTAGGAAATGAGTGTTTGAAGCAAGGGAATGGAAGAATGACTTCCCCATATGTGCGAATTCACATTACTTAACGTCTCATTTTTAAAAAAATGTCATTTATCTCTTGAAGGATTCCTAACTACTGGACATTTGTGAAATATGAGCTGTTATTACTAAATGATATTCAGTGATAAATATTTTTCAAGTACTAATGTCGTTAAGTAGCTTAAATGAGCGTATGAGCATCGCCAAATAATATTTAGAAAGGATTAGTTATTTGATATGATTGTGAAACTCCTCAATCAAATTGGAATGACACTGAATTATGCATTGTGTATGTTAAGTCATTATTCACCTGTCTTCGGTGAAGAGAATTATCTGATCTACGTTGGTGTGAGTAAAGCAGTTAAACAAGTTTCTTAAAATCTCAAGATATTTGAACGAAGAATGTTCTTTTCGATAAATTCTCTTCAGGTCCTACAATTATATATCCAAATTAATAATTCGAAAAATGGCCAGGTTAAGGGCAAAGTACATCGTTTAAAGCATATGAATTGAGGATTGTACTTTGCTCTTAACCTGTCCATTTTTCGAATTATTAATTTGGATATATAATTGTAGAATTTGAAGAGAATTTATCGAAAAGAATATTCTTCGTTCAAATACTAGTCTTTTAATATGACGGGTATCTGTAGACGATCTCCAGATATCTTCGTTCCGTATGTTGACGTTCTTAAGCAGCTGACTGACTGACTCTTTTCAAGAAATGTATAACTAGTATGTGCATAAAATTTATTTCATTTTGTGAAATTTTTTTTCTTTTCATTGTTGCATAACAGCCTCTCACTTCTGAAAAGCCAGGATTATCTTCTACACAACCAAATTTGCAACAAGAAAATGACAAACGATCATCTGTAAATATACTAACTCCACAAAACTTAAAATATGCTTTGCCTCATGATTATTCTCGTGAAATTCATTTACTTGTAAACAGTCCAGATTATAGTGATGTCACTTGTATAGAGTTATCAACTAATAGTAAGTTACTGCTGTTTTCTAACGTATATGGTTTATGTGATATGACAGACTAATAGTTTAGGTGTCCAACTCTTAACTGCCTAAGCCGTGGGTTCGAACTCCTCTACAAATGAGTAGTATTACAAGTCCTTACACCCATAGTGCGGTTTGAAATAATGTACACTAATCTGTACTTGATAAATGAGCGTTGAGCTACATTTTATCTGATTAGGCAGACGGAAGTAGTTGGAGTTGTTATGAGTTCGGAATTGATGATTTAATGAATGGGTTTTCATGTATCAACATGAATGAAGCCAACCCAAATCGGTAACTGAAATGAAATGATGCAGTATGACTGGATGATAACTGTTCGTTAGACTGAATTATTGACGTAAGTCCGCAATTGAACTTAAATGAAAAGACAAGACAATTACACGGTCACATACGAAATATTGGACACAATAATAGATATAAATCATTTTACAAATAAATGATAGAAAGATATGACAACTATAGGTCATTCACTCTCTAATGGAATTGATCCCAAAATATCTGTTTTGAATTCTTGCCCCATTATATCGTGAATAGAATTAAAACTTACAAATTAATCGTTTCCAAGTCGGTTGAATTCTTAGTGTTAAACGTTTGTTCAATTATAATCACACTGTTTCTTTTTATCAGACTCAGGAGTTTTTTTTGTAGTGAACTATTGCATAACGAATTAGTTTTCTAGGCTATACTTTCGTAATCAGTTACATTTTTCATCACGGATATAATGGGCACAGACTTGGTTGCAATGAGATTGGTATACGAAATTGTTTTTTTTTCTAGCTGTCTTTGACATGTAATGTTCGGTTTTACGATATTTTAAATATATGTTCTTGCAGTACTGTCGACATGTTTTGAAGAGTGAAATAATTATTGTGTAATTAGTTTATGTGTTCATATTTATGCTGTGGTAATTGCAATAGTTGCCAGTTCCAAATATTGTAGTACTGTCACGGTCACAACAATCACTGAGTTGTACGTTTTTTTTGTAACACCAACATATGGAGAAAAAATTGCAATTCATGTTGTTTTTTTTCAGGGAAATCTTCAATGTTGGCATCAGCCTTACTACCGAATCATTGTCTAGCGGGAGTTAAAGTTAATGAACAACAGGTAATTGTTGTGATTTTCGAGTTTTATCTACTCTGTCTTTATTCAATACAACTCATCGACTGTATAAATTTAGCGGACTGACCCTATAGTTAAGCAACTATTGGAAACCAATAATCGTTGGGTAATTGTTTCGTCCTAATAATGGGCCCTTTAACAATACTCAACCACAGCCTCACTGGAAATCGAACTGACACTCTGATGTAATGGGTGTCCAGTGACTGCTACCTGATTTTAGTCGTTATCTAATTAAAGTCAGTTCATGATGTGTGAGACTTCAAATCCAACAATGTTCATAGGATCCTCTGGATTAAGTTGAGAGCTACACTTTGGCTGACTCGTTCTAGTATGAGACTCATCAGCAGTTTCTATTCATGACTCCGCCTTCTGCAACAAATCTAAGACGTTGGTTAATGTACGTGAATGTTCATTCTGTAGACCACTGAGAGGCATTCAGCAGTGTTACTGTCTAACTTCGATCAATCCGTGATATTGTGTGACCATCCAGTGCTTCCAGATTTCCAGTGGTAATCTAACATTTATCGGTTCATGATTTCAATGGGATTCAGCAATCTTTACAACCCCATAATGATAATTTCTAGTAGTTGTTGTTATTTTAATTATGATCACTTTTGGAGATTGATGGAAATTTGTTTTTTTTTATATTTTCGGCTGATCATTAGTTTTTCACGAAAAACGGTTTGACATTTCTTTGAAAGTTGTTAAGACACTGACTAACTGAAATAATGCATATATTGTTCTGATTTCTACTAAGAGTAATATTACTGAATTATAGGGATTTACAACAATAAATGAATCAAGTTTTGATATTTATTCTGATCAATCTAGTTGTTATCATTATAATATATATATATATATATATATATATATATATATATATATATATATATATATATATATATATATATATATATATATATATACTCGTTAGAATTTAATGGTGATTAGCAGTGGAATGTAGGACACACTTTTCATGCTGTTCAGAATTTGTCAGATCAATGTACTTTCATTGCAGTGCTAATTTTCACAGTAAAACTCAAACAGTATTTTTCGCATCAAATACCAGCGTTTTATCTATAAGATAGTGGCCATATGGATTCGATAGCTCAAGGAATAACTTTTTGGCTTTTGAGGCGAAAAGCGATAAGCTCGAGTTTCAACAGAAGCACAATCATTAGTGTGTAGGTATATCCAACTGAAAAGTTTTAAACAGGGAGAATTGAACTTCCTAAGTTTCATTACTATCGAACTATATTGAAGAATTATGACCGAATGCCAGTATCAGGGCAATCTGAACGATTAATTCTTATCTTTAACATATATAATAGGAAAGTGCAAACCGTGGTTGTTTTATTTTCCTGTTGCTAAACAATGAACCCATAATTAGGTGATATTCTATGTGTGATTGATGTCCCTTTAAAATCTTGTGTTCACATCGTTTATCTGTCGGTTCTCAAACAAACTCTACCTTGATCAAATAGCATTATTTCAAGCAAATCTATTATTCAAACCATATACCCATGATGATACCTTCACTTTCTAATATGAATTAATTTAAGATGTCAACTCTAATAGGCTTATACTACATTTCAAAGGAAATACCATGTCATATATGTAATTATTATCGTAAATAAAAAAATTCTGAATTAGGTACAAAACCGTTCACCTTATAATATGTTAGCTAATCAATCTACTTGTTGTTTATTTGAGTAGTACAATATTTTGTTTACAAAACACTTTGTTTCAATTTTAGTCCCTTTTTTGGACATAACAGTCTATCTCTGTCTATATGATAATATACAACTTCATTGTTAAAAACTACTGCATACATTATCTATGCATTTAATGTCTGTTCAGTGTTCCGGTTTTCCTTCTTAGCATATAAGACACCATTTTGTGCTGTAGAGACTAGTCTGACCTTGTTTATTTATTTATGGACAACAAGTGCAACACTGAAAATTGATGAATAGACAATAAATATGTACCGATAAGAATAGACGAGAGTATAAACGAAGAAAATAGAATAAAAATGTGAGAGGGAAGCGAGAACATTATTCAACTAACTGTGTATATTGAATTTGCTTTGTTAGTTGGACTAAACAAATTTCTAGACTTGTTTGTCTGACAATTGTGTATATCTGTGTGTGTTTGTGCATGTTGTTTGATATGTGTTTGTTTATTTATTATTAATTTGTTGACTAGTAGTTGATTACTCACTGACGCTGTTGTCGCTGTTTCAGTAGATATGAATACGGATGATGATTCACTTCTCAGTTGTTGTTGTTGTTGTTATTTCTGTCGTTACTACTTATTTTCTTTTCTATTCCATCAATCGTTACTTGTTATCTCCTCTTTTTTTCTATTCTCTTTTCAATTGTTTATATGTGTCGCGGTCATGACCTTAGTTATCCGAATACATAAACCCTTATCTATTTTTGTCAGACTGGATAAAGTGTCCAACAATTAGATTGTTACTTTATATTTGATACTAATATGTTTCATGGGCTCTATATTAGAATAATATAGAATTTTTAGTTTTGGCAACTTCACGATTCTAATTTAATAATTAAATGGAAAACTTGGAAGCACTGAACGGCTGTTTCATCCTAGTATGGGATGGATGCGCACTGCTGAGGAGTCCCATACTAAGATGAAACGGCCGTCCAGTGCTCCCAGGTTTTCCATGGTAGTCTAGCTTCAATTGACTCATGATTTCAACTAGTGAAATGTCTGAAAATCTCCACAAAACTCCTGATAATTAAATGTTTATCAGTTAATGTCCTGTTTTGATCTTCAACTAAGCTCATTTTAAATTACGAACAATCGCGAAACTTTTTTTCTCGATACGTATAGAATCTATGTGAACTGGATGAATAGGACAACTAATATATAGAGTACTTTAGCTAATAATTTCTTACATGACTAAAAAAAAAGAAAAATCATCAACTCAGTAAAAAGCTTAATACTCAGAGAAGTTCAAATGGTCATAGAACAATTTTCCACATATATCGACAAATATGACATTGGAACACAAAAAAATTAACAAGCCTAAAGAAACGACAATCTTTAAAACAACAGTAATGGTCAACACAGAAATATAGATTGTAAAATAGTTACCGAGGCCTTACTTAAATGTTAGAACTGCTATTTATTAATAAAACTAACAATTATATCATCTAGATACAAAAGTTGTAATTTCTAGTCATTTTTATTGTTGTGTGATTCGTTTGTCAAGTACAGATTTTTGTTATTTGTTTTGAATCATAATTTAGTGAGTATAAATGCTAGTGTTATTACACTACCTGATCGTCTAATCCGAAATAGATGAATTATGGATTCGAACTTATCACCTGTTAGTTGTTAGAAGTTGTCATTCACAAGCACTAAGCAATTGCTACACTGTCAACAACTAATCAATGTTTCGTAAAAACTACTTTTTAGTTCTTACTTGAATAAGGCTTCTCAGTCAAACTGTAATTATGATATGATGCACCCAGATTGTTTCACAAATTAGGAATAACTGTCATCGGGACTATGTTGATTTCCTGTTAACTTTCGTTCACGTCATCTGTTTGTGCTTTAGTTGTATTGGTGTAGCTATCTTTCGAACCATTTGACAACGAATACAAAATCAACCGAACCTAATTCTCTCTGGGTAGTAAACGGAGGATATGTATATGTAATTGATTATTAAGCTCCATTGGTATAGTGGACTAGAACGCTACCCAGTAGTTATTTGAACTAAAATAATTGAAACATGGATTTAATCTACAATTTGTTTGGTTGCAAGTATGACTTCTCTAAGTATAAGTAATCATAATTGTGTACCTACTATCATCACTAATGTCCATCCTTGTCGTAGATACACTAATAACTGAAGAATTTAGTTCGCTTAAACATCATCTAACAATGATATCCTGTTAGACAAAAAAAAAACGCTTCATAAATCCATAACCTATTGAACCACTTAGGTCAAAGTCTAAACGTGTTTGTAACGAATTTCATATCCGTTAAATTTTAAATAATACTACCTTATTATTTTGGATCATATAAAATGTGAAATATTGAGTTTGTAAATCAATTAGCTTATTTTAAAAAGTGTTGTTGGATCATATTCTGACGTTACTAGTACTCTTTATCCACTTGTAATAAAATGCGTGTATGTGCTCATTGTAAATAAATAGATTATGAAAACATGTTTACGTATCTTGCCAACATGATTGTAAAACAGACTACTTTTTATATATAAAAATTTCTATTTTTATTACTAGAAATTTCATATTTCGATAGAAACGTGCTCAGACTAATTTACTGTTTTGTTTTCGTGATAGGGAGTGGGGTAGTTCTTTTGTTTATTTCTTCATTGTTGTCAGTTTTTTTTAAGTACTTTATATTTTCACTATTTGTTTACGCGTCAGTCTATAAAACGACAGGTTGTCGTTTGTTTGTTTAACCTTTTGTCTTGTACAACTGATGAATACTTTAATGTCTTAGATAGTTCAGAATTATTTATTATAATAATTGACCTCTCCTCATCACTGTTTTTTTTATTCTGTGTTTGTGTTTCATATTATGTCTAGGAAATGGATAAGACTTCGGAAAACAAACAGTTCAAGGATAAATTTCTTGATCCTAATCATTTATTACTTATGAAGGTAATTGATGTGTGCGTGTTTATTTTGAAGTCATGTTTATGGTTTTATCTTTTTAAAGCTAATCGCTCCATTCTTCTTTTGTTTGAATCTGCGTATGACATATGCGCTGATTGAAGATCGTTTGCGTAGGGGTTAATGGACGGTAGATAACGATTATAACTAGAAAACTATAGAAAACTGAACAGATGGTTCGTTTCCATTTGGAACTACTAGGCAGTACCTAACAATAGAAAATTTATATTAGTTAGGAGACAGGACTTTACCTTGAAATAACTAACTCGAATATCTACTGATCTATGTATCCAACTTTACTTAATTTGTGATATATCTTGATAATTATTTTATCCAATGTCAATAGTTGAATAATTATCAACACAGTTGTGAATTGTGCATCAGACTATAACTTGATATTGGAAGTTCGGAAATTGATAATTAAACTGGTCACTAGCCGGGATATAATTATTCTTCGGTTTATTTATTTTCGATGGCTGATTGAGTTTGATTTGACTTCATCATCATGATTAGTTGTTCATGTCAATAATTTATATGGTATTCTTTCAATGGAGGAGAATGGTATGTTACATCAGATCATGAAGTGATTGGTCTGAACCATGTTGATAAATGAAGATTACTCGGTAGGGGTGTCGCTCGATCACCACAATCAGTGATTGGATATTTTTTTGACATGACTTAGAATCATTTAGATGCGTTCATTCTTTATAATTCGCTCAATCTTAAATAGTAGTATTGCTTGATATTTACTTTCACAGTCTTTTAAAACTATATTCCCAAAATTTAATCTTTCCTTTTATCATTGCTACCTTATTTCTATCTCTTTTGTTATTTGAATCTCATGGCAATGTAGTCTAGAAACTTGCATTAACCCACATTTTTGACAGATTCTATGTTGTTGATGTCTATCTGTCTAACATACTGAAGTGTTAATTGTTCATGAGACCAAATCGTTGGCGTAACGATGGAAGTGAAATCAGACGATAAACAAAATAACATATGTATGGACATGAACTCAAGTGTAATAATTTTGGATCGTTTAATAGAAAAAACTATTTGAGTACAAAAACTGACAAGCAAATAAATTGATGATGGATATTAGTAAACTCTAAAATATTCAGTCTAACTTTGTAAGACAGTTAAACCAGTTATTACGGCAAATTTGTTTCAGTGTTTAAATGTTCTCAATGGAGACTTGTTTATCTTTTCTATATTCTCATTAGTAAATACATAGACGGTCTCAACAAAGAATCATCTGTGAGTATAGAAAACTACCAGCATTCTGTCTAATAGTACATAACTGACTGAGCTTTTTGCTTTCTGGTATACAGTTCTGCTCTACAACTGAAATGTTTACGTACTTCGGACTAGTGACTTTTATCTGTCGTATTCGGGATTCAATAGGAAAATTGACATCGCCATTATATGTTTTAGTGCATAGTTTCAGTTATCGTTACGTAAATATATTTATGATTAAAGATATCAGCAATTATCAACGCATATTCATTTTTATTTTACTCTAAATAGCTGTTGGAACTACTTAAATTCCCATGTTCTCCACTTACAACTGAAAATAAATCGTCTACAGATACGAATACTTCTGTTCTAACTGTTGTCTCACAACAAACAATGTTACAAGAATCCTCTGATACGCTAAACACATGTAAGAGTACAATGTTATTTTTTTTGTGTGTGTGAAATGTTTTTCTTAATTGACTAACTAATGTAAAATTGTAATGTATAAAATTTAAATACTGAAGGTGATTTTATTTTCTGTTCAAATTCAGTTAGTGAATACATTTTTCCAAGCACTAACCGGCATTTGAATCAAGTCTTAAAGTCATGTGTTTTTTATTCTTGTCTCCAGAAAGCTGACTTTTTTCAAAATTAGTTTTCTCCCTATTCCAATAACTTCAAAAAGACGACAACAGAAGTCAGTCACCTCCTGAATAGCCTAGTGGTAATATTTCTGACTGTGACGTAAATTTGACACCCATAGTGAGTATCATTTTCTGCAATATTGTTGATACACCCTTGTTATGTTTTGTGATAGGCTACGATCATTCCGAATTACAAATGTTTGGGAGATTCTTCTAATCACTTGTACATTACAATACTTCAATGTTAATAATCTACTCGCGAATAACAGAGAGAGAGAATGCTTTCAGGGGTGTTTTAACATTCTCAAAAGAAGTCAACATTATAATAAAACAGCTCTGTTTATGGAGCAACAAATGCGACCTTGATACATAATGCAAAAATGACAAGCTAGAAGCAGAACCAACCAGTTAAGTAACAGCTATGGCCATTGCGTAAATTTGAATTTTCATACAATTTTTCTCGGTTGGGTCATCACGATAGGTAAGCCCGACCAACACGTCATGCTAGCAATCATGTAATATACAAATGTTTTCGTATGATGTCCAGTTATTTAGACTACTGCGTCGATTTGCAGTTGATCACTAAAGTTTTATCAACACAATGAAACTAAATAAATACTACATTGGTAACTAACTAACTCAATGGCTATCATACATATTTAGCATAAATTGAAAAAAATATCCGCTAGTTTTATTTTCCTGTTTCATGTTATATTGAATGTTTCTGATTTCTCTTTGTTTATTAGCAATTATCATGAATTTATCACTAATTAAGAAGAACTAAAGACCATTCAGCGAAAAAGAGTTTTCTTTTCAACGATATCATTTACTCACGTTGTATATTCGTATTCATTGTTAATTAACGAATAAAGTAGTCTTTTGAAATTTCGGTTCACCAGTTGATCTTAACTAGACCATCATTGAATACCTGGAAGCATTGGATGGCCGTTTCGTCCTAGTATGGGACTTGTCAGCGGTAGGCATCCACAATCCCGCACGCGGAACTCGGACCCAGGACCCTAGATCTCGCGCGCAAAAGCTTAATCTCTAAACCACTGAACCGGCATCCAACGGTATTAATGACTCGTGAATGCAACTGTGAAAATACTACAATCTCCACAAATCCCCATGCTGATAATTCGACTAGTCTATTGAAAATTATAGGAACGATTACATCATAACATGTGCCAAAGAAAATTGATAATCGAGAATTTAATTTCATCTTATAATCTTTTTTCAAATTCTCATTCGTTAAGCCATTTTCTTTGATACATGGTATAGCATAATGGTTAATCTGTTGTTTTCTTGTAATCGACTACTGTAATTGCTGGTTATCAATAAATGTGACTAACCAACTTAAGTAAATGTTATCGTTGAAAAGAAAATTCTTTTTCGTTGAATTGTCTTTAATTTTTCTTCAATGATACCATAAATTACTTTTGGTATATTATTACTTTTCAGCTGAACACCTAATCAAAGTGGACGGTGATACAACTCAAGATAGTTCGTGTATGAATGATAGTCAATATTCTATTGCTTCTGATAATGGATATTCCAACAAATTAAAACGATCACACAACAGTGAAATCATTGTTAAAGCGACACCCAACTTCGGTGATGATGAAGTGGTTCTTTTGTGTAATGAAAAAGTAGGCATTTTCATCATGTTTATGTTTATGTGTTTTTCTTCCATAACCTACTTATAGTGTACTGTACATATTCCGTCGAATATTTGTCAGAACCTTATTCAAAATTATACTCATGGTATAATCATATCCATTGTGTGTGTCAGTTCAATCAGTCAGTCATACTCAGTGTAGAATCTGACACATCTTTACATCGGTTCAAGTTGCAATACCATATTAGCATAGCAAGATAAAATTGTTTCCCAGTAGTAACAGAACGATTTAATTATAAAAGAAGGAACGTATTACAAGATTTCGAGACTCATGTTCTTAGGAAATACACATTTTGTGTGTACCTGTGACATTCTGAGTCATGTCACCCAGTCTCTAGCCATTGGTTACGATAATTATATAGACCTCAACCAAGTAGTTTGTAAATGCCTACATGGCTCAGTCAAATAGTCAACGATTTCATGAACTGGTGCTTGTGTCTCTCTTAGCTTTCTGTCAACCTACTCCTACATCAGACAACATTACCGGTTGAGGTTGTTAGGGCTGCATAATACATGCGTAACATATGTTTACTATAGAGAAAAAGAAAATTAATACGATATGAAGAAAAGAAAGGCAATTAATTTGAACTGATATATTAATCTAATCATGAAAAGTACAGTTCAGAATCAGTAAATGAAACCGAGGAAGGAAAACCTTTGAAGTGATAGCTAGAAAGAAAAGAATTATCATTGGAACTTCAACATTGTCATCAGTATTGAGCAATACTAGTAACTATACCTCAGTTATTTCTTCACCTTTAACTAAGAAGCCTGAACTTACTGATATGTCAACGAACATCAATCATGAAATGATTCCACATCTTGTTCTGTCCGTCTTTAACTTCTTTTCGAACTTCATTTCCATCGCAATCAGCTACTTGATTTCTTTCATGTAAAGGTGAATCAAACGCGAAACCTTAAATATTTGTTTGCGAACCTCCGAGCTACGATCCCTTGATATCTATAAATGTGTTTTATAAATTATTGTTTATTCAATAATTCATCATGTTTATCAAGTTTTAATGAACAACACAGTGACAATAAAACATAGTTCCAACATACTTATTAACCGATTTTCTTATTCTTGAAATATTTATATATCACGAGCACAAATTCGATCAAATTCAACAGACACCATGGATGAGGTGAAAGGTAATATTTTACATCTAATTTGACCTTTAGTGGTGACCAAGTGATTCACATAAATAAATGAATGTCTAGACTGAATTTTCTTTTCGATGTATTAAAACTCCTGTTTAGTCATACAATGCTAATTAGTCTTAAAGTGAATATTGTGTCTTGTTTTGATCTTTAACATTTCGTTTTCATCTCCTTATTATATCAACCTTCACATTGTTAGTTGTGTAATTCTATAAGCAGTATAAGCCACTTAACTTAATGGTAGAATTCCCATCAGTTCTCCCTTTTTTGTGGGAGGGGGTAGCGGTACGTCTTTTAAAGTCTAGAAATATAAATCATGGAAACATTCTTCAGTATCAGGTTTTTGATCATCGATATCGCCGAAGGATTGATCGCGACTTATGAAACGACCTAATAAAAGCAGTAATGAGTTTAGGTATTAATCACTAGTCAAAGATGGTAAGTCTTCTGATAAGGATGTAAATCTTCATCAACGTAAGTGGTTGGTACATGTATTACATGTTTTTCACTTATTTTGACATACATTGTTGCCTGGTGTAAGAATAAGTTGAAAGAAAGCTAAGGACTGATAAACGATGACATGGTTTGAGTCCATGATATCATCAACCTTCAATCTAGACTATGAGTATAGGTGCGGACTACTACTGTATTGGGGTTTAAACAATAATCACCATCTCTGATTGAAAATGTCGGATGATGTGGTTCGAAATCGATTATGCTAGTGTATATTCATTCAATCGTTATCCCCCTCTAAACACTGAACCCCAGCATTTTTTTCTTCGTTCCTACTTTATGATTCATTCTTTCCAAACCATATTCTAAATGATTTCGACTCCCGTGCTACTCAACTCGAAAATTTCATTTCTCTTCACTCAGTGTAAGGGGTTTGGTATCTTCAACGAATCCACACTTTTATCAATTTATACATTGATTATGACAGGCTGATTGACTACTTCAGTGTTCATTTTTTTAATCTATTTTTTTCTTTGTTTTCATTTATCATTAGACAAACACCAAGGGTAAAAGACGCAGGAAAACTTATGAACAACAAAAATCAACACTGCGACAGGGTAGCAATTCTAGTCATCAAAGCAATCCCAATAAAAATATGGAAATGGATGATGTATCCATTTTAATTAAATGTGAATCTAGTTCTGAACAATTAGAAGGTTTGTATATATTTACTTATTTTGTTCTTATTTTTTTTCCAGTTCATGAATATTCTAGTGTGTATAAACAGTGTAGATTCATAAGTTTATATTTAAGCTTCATATCCCTATACTACTAAGCGGCAGTGACAACAGCTTGCTTAAACATTTATGTTGTGAATCGATATTATTTTGTTTGATTAAAGTTCAGTACAGGATAACGATTAAAAAAATTTTCCAGTCAGAACGTGAAATCTAACGTGACTCTGATTGATCGAATTATTGTTCAATTAATAACAGCCCCCCCCCAATTAGTTACTAATAAAAGTAATTGATGTTCGTATACTCTAACGGTCCCAATAATGGTAGTATAGTATAATATTTGTCGTTGCGACAACTCCAACATGTAATTGGAATATTTATATTCATCAATCCTCCAATAGTTTGGCCCATTTATTTCTCCGACTGTGCGAATAGCCCAACAAATCTTCCAATTTTGGTTTTATTTTAACTGAATCGTTATTAGTTCTAAACGTGTATGTACTCACTCATTTATCCTAAAAAAGCAATGTAGTCTATTATGGTGTTAAATACCTAAAACATTGGACGAAAACACCACAACTGTCAATTCATTTTACATTTTCGTCTACTGTTTTAATAAATGAAAGGCAATCACACTGGAATCTATACTTTCTACATCAGTCATGGTTTCTTGAGGCCCGAATAACTCATTGATAACGTCTGAGATTGTGAAATTGTTTGGCTCGTGTTCGAATCCCACAGGGATCACGAGTTTCCTCAAGATTTTTGCTAGGGTTTGCTGACAAGTGCCAACTAGCATAATACCGAGATCTATCAGTTCTTCTTGCCGATTACCTTCAATCACTTCATATATATGACTGATGAACAAAACGCTTACTGCAGCTAAATTGATAAAAAGATTTTATGATCGAAGATTATGAACGACAGATGCTAATTATCAAGAAAGTATTTAGAAGATGTGTATTTGAATTCTTAGGCAGGAATCTCTCACAATATTGCATATCTAGTACAGAGAATTCTTTTACTGCAACAAAATTTATGGTTCATAATAATAAAGCAGATCAACCGTAGTTTACATGGAGTCTCGTACAAGTATGGATTGATCCTAATCACCTTATCATATTAACACGACGAGATGAAATCGACAAAATAAATAGTAAACGAGTCAAAATCATGTGACATTTATGATAATAAGAATAACTAAACATTGATAATATTTTCTTTAAAAATATAGGATCAAAAGAGATGTAGGAAACAATAATGTGGCTCAAGATTTAGATTAAAATAGTCAGTAAATGCATCCGAGTAATTGTAACAAAGCGCGTCTCCAACCATTAACAGTGGTTATCACTTGATTATTAATTTTATTATCTGTCAAATAGATATCAAATAAACTTTTACTTAGAACCAGGAAATGAATAAAGATATTGGTATTATCTGAGTAATTCACATCGTAATTTACCAGAAACTTGAACCAAAAGTTAGAAAATAGTTGAATGTTCAGAAAATAAATTAATTTACAATAATGCCTAAATCAATCCAAAACAATAACAGAGAGGAATATTCTTTAGACGCATTGTTAATAATTCAAAGACATTATTGGGAACTAACGTACTGTGGGTAGTATATTGATTATGTTTTTATGTATATAACATGATCAAGGAATTACTGCAGTAGAATATTAGATCTAATAACTCTATTATAATATTTCCCTTCTAGAAACTCAGACACAGTATCAATTAATCTCATTCTATATGTTTATTCATTTCATTGCACAAGAGTGCGTTTCACTTTTTTTTATTTAACCCCAGCGATATATGTTTTCCATCTATTGTTTTGATTTTTCTCAATTTTACGGGAAAAAAAAGATTCTTCAGCTGACTATACATCGTTCATCAACACACCACCTGTTGAGTCTTCAACAAATGGTTCTTCAAAGAAGAAAAAGCGACCAGTGAAAAAGTTTAAAGAATTTCGTGTAGTAAGTTAGCGATATCATATTTACTCAATGTTGATGTTGCTTATTTCTTTTGTTTCATTATTCTATTTTTCAAAATATGAACTTGGTTTATTTTTGTGTTTGTGCACGCATATCTATTCGATTTCAATCTGTCATGTTTGATTGTTTCATCAAGGAGACTCACAAAATATGTTTGCTTGATATTTGTATATTTTCTATTTGAAGATAATCTGAATGCTGTAAAAAAGAAAGCTGAGTTCAATATAGTTACTATTATTATTTATAGGTTGTATTCATCACAGATTGATTTCATCTCATATGTGAGACTAATTCTCATCAATGGACACATAACACCAACAGAAGATAAACTCGAAAGATTTACATCTATCAATAGATGTTTAACCATTGGTATCACTACGTTGGCGTTCAATAACATTAATATCAATATACATATCAATAAATATAATTTACACGATAAACCAATCTCCACAAAACCCTTTCAATTATACTAGCGTTATTATTATTATTATTATTATTATTATTATTATTATTATTATTATTATTATTAATGTTGTATCGACCATGGTTTCACACGTTCAACTCTAAATATCATCTTTTGTTTTTGCAATCACCTATCAAATTACCTGTTTAGCGTGAGGCATAAAATAGATTTGAACCTGTTACATAGTGGTTCAAAATTCGTGAATTGACTGAAGTGTGAATACCAGCACAATAGTCTAAAAGTTAAGCGTTTCCTTCTAGGCGTATTTGTACTTAGTTTGATCCTTAGTGAAATCGTTAAAACGTTGTACATTAAGATGAAATAGCTGTTCATTTCTTTCTGGCTTTTCATGGTTGACCATTCAAGGACAGTTTATAATGCGAAATCACAATGATCAGTTTAGTGTATTCTTATGACTTTTTGCATTGGTGATTCTGTTTTTTTTTGTTTCTGAGACTGATATCAATCTGTTGAGTTTTATTGATTTTGAATACTGCTAAAACAACAATCAAAGGCAGTTTCATGAATGTAATTATTTTTTAAAATATTTTTGGTAATAATAAAGAAGGCTTGGGAGTTATGCTGAATGTTCTTTGATTGCGCCGCTGTTATATCTTTATAAACAATTATGATGAGGTTTCCGTATATGAGTTTTAGAGTGATTCCTACTTACGAACGATCGAGATAGTTTAAATACAAATGGAATTATTTGTTTACTTGACGAGACGCAAATGACTGACACATAACAGTGCAACAATAATTGTCAACGGTGAAACTCAAGAGTATGGTAGCAACGCAGAAGACACTTAATGTTTGACAAAGAATGGTTTGAAACAGAATAACTCTGTGTATATATAGTCACAGAACATGATGTTAAGATATACAATAAAAATGGTAGCAACCAATCAGAAAGTAGCAAAATTTTATGTTAAAAAGAAGTACTCGCGGTTATATTTACAAGTTATTGCATAGAAAATATTTTTCGTCAATTTTAAACAGCTTATGACTTAAGTATGAACAATTTTTACTCAACTCTTAAAAAGGTACAAATCGTACATCGTTACCTTTGAATTACCCGCAAAAATCCAGTAACCGGTATCTTCCTTCTGTTTGATTCACTGGTATAATATAGTTTTACCACGTGTTAGAAATATTTCTTGACAAAGACTCTAAAATCTCAGGAAAAATTGAAAGTATTTTAGCTCATCAACAAGAATAAATGCACCCCCTTAAACATTATGCTACATTTCAATGAGTTATCTACCCATTTTATAACTATATTTAATAAGTTTGTAAAGGTCATCTGGAAATTTTTGAATAAATTCGATTAACCTTGGAGTAAAACTTTTATTCATGTTTCATGTTTTTCCCCTATTGTATAAATTCGTATGTAGAAGTAATCTAAGATTAGAAAAAGTATCTAAAATGTCAGGTTCAAGCATTTAAGTAATGAGGTTTATCATAAACGCAAACATTTTTTGTGTTGTTATTTTACAACAATACATAGTGCCCGCAGTGTCGAGTCACCTAGACTGGTGGCCACATTGCAACATGATCGATAGCACTCGATCTGCACTAATAAGGACTAGACAAGCAAGACATTGATCACCACCCAGTGATCAATCAATTGTTATTTTACAACAAAATTTAGACATGACTACTAGGTGTAATCTTTGTTGTTGTTGTTTTTTCGAGTAAATTATTTTGTCTAAGTTTTTCTTTATTTAACTACAAAAGGAAATTGCATGTTAGGTGTATAGTAGATTAAGTTACATTGTGATGACGCAACAAAGCTGATTATTATTGTCATCGTCATTGTTGTCCTGTTAATATCATTCATTTTCTTCTTATTCGATTTTATTGTTTTAATTTTTTGTCTTAAAATTAGTTTCATAATCAATAGACAACTGTAAAGGTTTTTCTACTCTTGTTACATTTACATCTACCGAAAATATTCTCTCACTTCAATTACACCTCACCCCCCCTCCACTACTATTATTTCATCGAATGGCAATTCATTATTATTATTTACTTTTACAAGAGAATTTCTTCTCATTATTATGCAACACGATTGTTATTGATGTTTATCTGATGTGTGTGTGTGCGCACGAGTAGACTAGCGAAAAAACCATATGAGTATAAAATAGAATAAACCTGATGATGTTTTATTCGTTCATCTCATTTTTGTCGGTTAACCGGTCGATTTATTTTCTGTTCGTGGGAGGCCTTAATCCATGGAACAACAGTAATAATAACTAAAATGGGAGTATTTCTTTCATTTCGCTATTGGTTCACATTTCCCGTCTTTTTCTTTGTCTATCAGTTTTATCAGTCTCCTCTCCCTATTTGCTGTTTCGTCAGAATACTACTACTGCCTTTTTATTCGAACACAATATATCATTTCATACAAGACAAGAATCAGTGGTTAGAGTTAGCTTTATACTTGGAGTTGTCCAATTTTCAGTTTGTTCACAACTTATATACTTGTGGTTGTGTGGCCGTGTACGTTTATCATAAATATCTCTCTACCTGCCTGCTCATATGTATTTCTTGATAAAGAGATATTAGATATTGTCCTCCTTCCCTCTTTGACTCACTCACTCATCTATGCACACATGCATACACAAATACAGTAGCTTGTTATCATTTGTTGTCATTGTTTTTTATTCGAACTCTTTCAAACTTTCTTTTCTACTGCTACATTTATTTCTCTCTTTTTACACTCAAATGCTTGTTTTGTCTCCGATATCTAGGACGAATGTGAACTGTTTATAAGACATTTAGTGTTTAAAAGCAAAAAATTTATTATTTTTATGTAGATTACTTTTCGCCATTATTATTATTATTGTTCATTTGAAATTATTTATTCGCTTCGGTATTTTCTTTCTACTTGTGAGTTATCCTTTTCGTTACTTTTTTTCTTCTTTATTTGTTTATTAAAAGTTAAAATGATTCATGATCTCAATCAGAAACTTAATAATTTCCATAAACCCTATACTAGTAATCAACATGTGCACACTAGTGACTAGCTTCATGAGGGAATTCTCGGAGTACTAATGAGAAGCCGTAACCAGTGGAGCTAATCCATGTCGGGTAGAGGCAGGTATCTACTTCAGTACAACGGAAGTTGGTCGCGAAATTTCGTGGATTGGTTGATGTTAGACACTATCACCATTGGATGCCGGCTCAGTGGTCCAGTAGGTTGAGCGTTCGCGCGCGAGACCGAAGGCCCTGGGTTCGAATTCCGCGAGCGGGATCGTGGATGCGCACTGCTGAGGAGTTCCACAATAGGAAGAAACGGTCGTCCAATGCTTCCAGGTTTCCAAAGGTGGTTGTCTAACATCAATCGATTCATGATCTCAATCATAAACTTAATAATCTCCACAAACCCTATACTAGTGATTCATAGTAGTTACCAGGTAATATCTATCATTATTGTCGTAGTGAATTAATACATCCAAATTGTAACCGATATGTCATCTTATCCGAATTTATTTGCTTCAATTCTATTCTGTTTCAACAATTGTTGATGTTAATATTATACACTAATTTTTATCAATTAACTTTGTCTCAAAGTTAATTCGGTAAACGTGTACTTGATAAATAAGTTGAAATGTTAATAATATTGTTATAATGTAGCCTTTTATCATTTGTAATGAAAAGTATTAAATTCATAGATGAAATATGCTAATCTGTTGATAATATACGCTATGGTCAAATGGATAACTTTTTATAAGATTGGACTATTGAAGTAAATTCTTAATTGAAATTGAGATCAGAGGGAAAGAAAGCTGTCTAATTGAATAGGGTCTCTTTTTTTCTTTTGTAACAAAATAAGACGCTTATATACAAAATATTAACAGTAAAATAAACACTACAAGCGTAAATTTCAGGCTGTCTCATTATATCAAATATGTAATGTGTTATATAATTTACTTTGAAGTTAGTTTTGGTCTTAAAATTTGTTTCAGTTTCCGATTGGTAAGTGAATATAATTGTTGTCGAATGGAATATCTTATTTATAGACAATAGGACTATTTTGCTTCACAATCACAAAGAAACAATGTATCTGAAATTCTCATAGTACGGAGCTAACACAAAAAGTACCCACAAATTGATCTACACGTTGTTTTTCCCCTTCGAAAAAAAATTGAAAGTTGAGAAGTTGTTGAACTTACACAATTCATTAAGCATCGGATTTAAAGCTGGAGTTTTTATTTTTGTCAAGAACTTGTGTTATTAATTTACTAGACTACCGAAGATCAAAATATGGATATTATTTTTCAAACGTAGAACCAAACAGCCATTTCATCCTTGTATATAACTCAGTAGTTGGCATACACAACTCCAGCAGAGATCGGACCTAGAGCCTTCAGACCTTGTGGCGAACACTTAACCATCTAAACCATCATGTTAGTGTCCAGTAGTAGTACAATGTCAATTAAAATGAATTTTTAACATAACTCGATAATCGTCCCAAAACAATTGGTGATAACTTTTTCACTCCCAGCATTTTGAAACTCTACTAGTTGATTGATTATTATTAGTTGAGATGGTTCTGTGGAGATTGAGGTAATTTGTAAGTTGCACTTACCACAGATTAACTCACAGGAGAAGGGGGTCGAGAGTGCACGCTACTAAGAACCCCATACTAGAATGGAATACCTATCAAATGTTCCCTCCTATCCAATGTTATCTAAAAATTATACCACACTATATATAACCCTTTCAACTAAAATATAACCAACAATTGAAATTCTTGTCAGTAAGTTTAATCAACTTACGGTTCGACATGAATGTATGCTGACACAAGTTGCCATTACTAAATTAGCGCAACGAAATGCCAGTAACAATATGAATTGCAAAAGTGATCGAAATAATGTAATAGCAATCATAATGAGAATTAATGAATATTGAAGGTAAGGTTTGAAAAGACAAAGTAAAAATATATCTTTGACGGGATACTAGAACTGAAGATTCAAAGAAAAATAATAAGTAAATATAATTGTGTCATTGTGAACGATTCAGAGTAATGTCACTCAACGTCTGCGACTACAATTCTTGCACAAGCCACAACCATTTGGTCTGGATCTGCCAACAGTGCTCTGTCCAACATTCAATAAACTCATGGACTAATACCATATCTTTGTTTGACTGTCACTAACTTTCTTCCAACTTACCCCTATGTTAGACAATATTGTCCATCGAAGTAAGAGTTAATTAGACATATGTAACAAATATTCTGATCACTTTAGTCGATGAAGGTTTACAAGATCATTAACTGATTTTGTCATTTTCACCTAACCTCAACAATATTGTCCACTTTTTCATTCTACAAAATTCCAGGAGTCCTTTGATAATATTTACAATTCAAATACTTTAGCTGATACTTCTCTTTTTCTCTCATAGTTCAAGTTTTACAGCTTTAGTGTACAATGAACTGCTGTGCAATATACACATCCTTTAATTTTAAAAAATCCCATGGTACGGCCAAGAGTGGGGAGAGTACGCTCTCCTCCAAATGCTCTCACATGGCCACGCGTATATAGCCTCTGCCAGAAAAGTCCCACTCACTGCCTTCTCGTGAAGGGAGTGTTGTTTACGAAATTGAGAAGAGGAAAAGCGAATGTCCGGCGCTTCAACCGGGTTAGTGGACATGGAGAGTCCACCTAGGGGACTTGGAAAACCCTGGTTCCAAACCAATGGTGCACATGGGCTCCAGGATCTTGAGGGAACAAATGGCGTATGAATCAATTGTTAGTCACCAGCTACCATGGGACTGGATCTCGTTACGTTGCTCCACTGTCTTGTGGATCAGACCTTCAGGTCGAAGGCTCTGGGTGTGGTCCCCTAAAAAACCACTTGCTTCGGTTTGAGCACCTGGTCAGTATCACGGTCCTCACACATATCAAATGTGATCTGTGTGGCGCATATGTATTTGGTGCCTCCTTGTACCAATATCTATATGTTAAAATAAATAAATAAATTTTATCATGAAATTACTGTAGTCTGTGTATGCACATACCCAAAAGTTTCCTTTCCTACTTTATAATTAATTATCTTTATATATTAAAAATAATTTAGATTCAAATATGTAATTATCTTTTATTGTACTTTTGATTTTTCACTCTATAAATTGAAATCAAAATAATTCTCAAAGAAAAAAAATAAGAGTTTCGCTTGTAGGTCGTTAAAATAAACTATTATCATTATTATTCTCCATTTTAATTCGCGATTGCCTCTACGGCACTTACATTCTGTAAATTCTTACGAATATATGTATTTCTACAGTTGAATTAACGAGTCGATCTAAACTAGACCACTTTTGAAAACCCGGTAACACAGGGCGGCCGTTCCGTTCTAGTATGTGACTTGTCAACAGTTCCCATCCAGGATTCCACTCTCTGAAGTTGAACTCAGGACCTTCGATCTTGCATATGACCGCTTAACTTCTAGACCACTGAACCGATATCCAAAGGTGTTAATGTCTGACTTCAATTAATCCACGGTCTTGTACAAACCTTCATCCATTGTCTGAAGTAAATAATTGAATTAAATCATCATTATTAATGTAATTATAATTTTCTGTAGTGTTTGTGTGTACAATATTTCTACAAGTTTTAAGTACTTATTCAATGTATCTATACATGTAATTGGTTCTTTGATCCCAGTTTACTAAATTATACTTTTCTATTTATCATTTTTCTTACAGAGTCGTCCCAAACATCAAAAATAACACTGAACACACTGAACAAAACAGGCTAAATTCTCTTTATTCTATACAAGTGTACATGCTTTATTCTTTGTATATTTGTATCATTTTTCTTCACAAAAAAAACTATAAGATATTTTGACTCGTGTTGTTTTTTGTCTTTGCTATTCTGTTCGAATGAGATCGGACACTCAGTTTTGTAATTGTATGAGCCTAGTGCTAGTTGGTGATCTATGAACGCTAAGGTCACCAGTCATATTATATATATGTATATACCACAATGATCAATCAATTGTGATTACATATCAGTCCTACAGGAGGTCAGTCGCGGCCCGGATAGCCCAGTGATAACGTCTCTGACTATGAAGCTGGATCAAGCCCTTCAGGGATCACCAGTTCCCTTAAGACTACAGGTACACCTTACAGACGAGTGCCAAGTAGCACGAAATACGGGTCCAGGGTTTCCTGCTGACTACCCCCAACCACCATCTGATGTCTAGCACTTCCAGATTTTTAATGGTAATCTTACTTAGACCAATTTGTGATTTCAATTCGAAATTCTCTTCATCACTTATACTGATAATGAGAGTGATCAATCATGGTATTACGGATACATCTTCCTCCCAACAATACAAAATTGTTTACTTTTTCACACAATGTCGGCTGATATGACGACCTTCATTTTTGCCAACCCAATAGTCTTTGGTACATAATAAGAATAAATACAAATTTCCATACTTCAGGAATATTTGTGGAACAATCAACAAATTAATATAATGAATACATTTCACAAATTTCGGAGTTAAACTTTGTTGTGTAGAATAACAAGAACTACAATGTCCACTTTATGGAAGATGTGTTGATAAACATTTACTGATGATAATAATAGTGATCTTATCATAAGCCAGTCATCACCGTCATGCCTTTTGTAGCTGAAAGCGTTAACGTTTCCAAAGAAACTTTATTTGAAAATTTCAAGAAAATTACTAAAATCTATTTTATTTGAATAAACAATCAGTAAACAGTTAAATATGAACACCGACGCAAATCAATGCTCTTATGGTCCATGAAGTAGAAAACGTTTTCTTTTCTGACTTGAAAATTCATTGATCTCAAGCCAGTAATTATTCACTATACTAAGTAACAGCTAATAATGAACGTCACTGTACAATATATGTAAGTTCATTTAATTGCCAAAATTATTACGTGGTTGAAGTCAAAAGAATAGTCTCTCGTAATAACGTGATTGTCTATAATATACCTGACAAAATCCCCATTAAAACTGTAAGGAATTCGATATTAAATGCATCTAACCTTCAAGACAGTACATACCAATGCATTCGACTTAATAAAAAGCACCAGAAATACTCGTGCCTGGTCTTGCTCAGATTCGATCCTCATATATTAGCTGAACAGTTAAAAGTATCCGAGCGGCTAATCTGCACGCTTACGATGTTTGGAAACGCTCGTATAGTCTCGGGTAAGACTACCACTCAGACTTACGCAAAAACGTACTTTGAACGAAAATAAAGGTGTTGAGATCATACCAAATCACGATGCATCAGCTGCTGGATCGACTGATGCAGCTACCCTATCTCATGTTCTTCAGTACTCTGATTTACCAACGAAGAGTGTTAATTTGCCTATTATGCCCGTAGTGACATCTGATAACCAATGTACATCTAATGACGGCACTAAACCGATATTATCTAGTTTACCATTAGGAGCGCATATGCAAATACTTAGTTCTAATGCGACAGCTCTTAAAAACACTCAAGATTAAAAAGTATGTCACGTAAGAAGAATGTATGTATAGAACCTTCTGGTTCTAGACCCAATAACAAAAATATTACGATGGCTCTACCAAATAAAAATAAGACTATACTTCTCGACACCATGCTTTACCCTACTCATCGTAGGGGAGGTCATATGGGCAGACATGATTCAAATGTCTCACAAGACAGCCATTGTAATCATTATGTAAGCAGGCCTAATATTGGACAGACCACAGTGAACCAACGTGTCCCACGGTTACCCTCAAACATTTTAAATAATAAACCTGTAAGACGTAACTTTTCTCAACACTTTTTTATTGGGCAAGATGGATTACTAGGTTATTCACCATCAACCCAACCCCAACTAGCAGGTGTTTGTCTTAACTGTCCGCCTAGTCGAGTTCAACAAATTAATCCACTTTATCAAAATAAGGATTTTTTTGGCCTTCAGAAATCCCTGGTCTCACTAGCAATACAGTTTGTTCAAGCGATAGCCCATATGATCAGTCAAACATAAACCGCAGTCTATGCAAATCCAAAATAAACAACATCAATAGGGGAGCTCTCGTTTTTTTACACCCCATACTCCCTTTTTAAACTTATTACTTGTCAATGTATGTTCACTTCTGAACAGAATTTCAGCCTTGAGAACATTGGCTTTTCTAGCCAAGCCTTCTTTCGTACTTATCACTGGAACATGGTACTCTCAAACAGTATCTGATTCAGAATTAAATATCCAGAACTATCGACTCTATCACTGTGACAGAGAAACTAAGCAAGGAGGTGGATACCCTAACAACTAATAAAGTTGAAGATAGTGTCTTGAATAGTTTACAAGAATCAGTCTGGATATCAGTCAACACCCTGAATCTTAGTCTACTCCTTGGATGTATATACAGAGCTCCTGATGGTTCGAATTATGTGAATGATCTTATTATCAGCGCATTCATACGTGCATCTGTTCTAAACTTTAATGCTAAGGTTATCACTGGGGGTTTCAATTATCCTGGGATTAACTGGAGTACCGGTTGTTGTCGGTCATGTAATGATGAGATCTTGGCAACCATTAACATGCAGTGCTGGTCACAGTGGGTTCGTATCCCAACTAGAGGCGATAGTATACTCGATCTAATATTTAGTAGAGATGTTATCCCACTATCTGTAAAAGTATACGATGAATTTGAAAGCAGTGACCATAAGATAGTAGTTTGCGCTCTCCCTATCTATCTGTCTTATAACCCACCCATTCAAAAAACCTGCCAATATAGAGACTATAAGCATGCTGACTGGGACCTCCTGCATTCACTGATTAAACTTTCAGACTGAAATATCTTTTTTCATGTAATAGTCTCATGGATGCTATTGATGAATTCTATCTGATCATTAACTCTTTTTTAGATTCCTGTGTAACTCTTAAAACGTACAGGTTTAGTAAACCTTACGAATTATATATACCAGCTAAATATCGTAATAAACTAAAACGCCTACAGAATCGTTATTTTAAGTCAAACGACTTCACAGCAGTTGCACAAATAACAATAATTTTTAATCAAATTAAAGAGAAACATAGGTTAAAAGCCATTAATGAGGAGCTGTTAGCTCTTAATACTAACTCGAAGGTACAAAACTTAACTCTCCTTTTCAATATACACACTAAAGCAACTCGAAATGTTGATATACCATGCATCCAGCATAATAGCACTTTTATATACAACTCTAAAACTATAGCAGACCTTCTCAGTGGTATTTTTGCGAATGGTGTAGAAATCATAAGTGGATCTGCCTCAAGAGTTATGTGCATGACTAGCAACTCAATAAAATATATCTCCTTCACATGCATGAAAATTAATAAGGCTATAAATACCCTTAAGCTTTCGAGAGGTTATGGAGTAGACGGGATCTCATCCTTTCTCTACAAATATGGTGGTCCAAATATCCCACTTCTTCTTCTGAAGCTGTTTACTCTCCCTATGGAAACCGGTTATTACCCTTACTGTTGGAAAACCGCGTACATCATACCTACGTTACAAATCTGGAGATAAGACTGACATGAACAATTACCGGCCAATAAATATTGCTCCAGTTATTTCTAGCATTATGAGAAAAGTTATAAGTGATGAACTTTCCAAATATTTACTAGCTAGAAAATTTATCAATGATACTCAACATGGATTTCCTAAAAATCGATCTTGCATGACATGTCATTTTGACTTCTTTAATTTAGTTTATTCTCTACGTAACCAAGGTTATCTAGTCTTAGTGCTATATCTGGACATTTCTAAAGCCTTTGACATGGTTATCCACCAACTTCCTATAGGTAAGCTCGCATCTTATGGGGTTCAAAATCCTTTGCTTGCTTGGCTTGATTCCTTTCTCAGCAATCGATACCAAAAAGTTAAAATTAACTCTTCATTGTCTAACGCTGTCCCTTTTAGAAGTGTTGTAATACAAAGTAGTGTCTTAGGCCCTTTGCTCTTTTTAGTGTTTATCAATGATATTTGTGGAATTTTTTGTGTCGGTAAGCCCCTTCTATATGCAGATGATTTTAAAGTAGTGTATTCGTTTTCTCCACATGACCTGAAAAATATGCAATATTGCATCAGCATGGAGCTTAACAAGGTAGCACAGTGGTGCTTAAAATGGCAAACGGGAGCTTAATACGGCTAAATGTGGATGGATATGCTTCGGCGATACATCACTTAACCTAGACATTACCATAAATGGAGAAGTGTTATCTAGGTTACATACAGTAGTAAACTTAGGACTTAGATACTCCCGAGACTTGTCGTTTACAGAACAGAAATTGAAACAGACTTCTAAGTCTCAACGTTCAGTAGGTTACATAACTCCAAACCTTTATAACAATGAGTCACGTATTTTAATGCGCAAAGTTTGTGTTTGACCTCTTCTAGAACATTGCACGTTTATTCTTAGCAGTGCGCACATAAAGGATAAATTAAGGCTGGAATTAGTGCAGAGACGATTTACACTTCGTATTCTTGTACCTTAACTTATAATTCTAGATGTAATAAACTTGGGCTAGACCCTTTATGGAAAAAAAGACTCAAACTAAATCTCTTTCTTCAAACTACTTCATAAACTATCCTTTGCATTCAATCACGTGATTCGATATGCAGAAACTTCTCATTATGACATCCGTAATTCCTTGGCACTAGTGAAACAAACATATATGAATTACTTTACCTGTAAATTTTCTAGACTCTAGAATAACCTACCACAATATATCCGTACGACAAAATCACTCCCATTGTTTGTTCGCTCCATCGATGCATACTGCTCCTCTGAAAATGCATTGAATGTTCTAGCACCAGTAAGTGTATCTCATTTTACAAGTAGTATTATAGG